GTAAGCATATTTCACTCAGAGTATTCTATGTATTATGTGAGCTGTGGTGTTAAATAAAGCATTCAAAATGTCAATGAGAGACTTGCACAGACTCATTCTCCTCTCATATTTGAAGTTTCTACAACTGTACCACTTGTCCTTTGGCTACAGATGAGAACAAATTGTTAATATTAGTTTTATATTAAAGTCTGTCTGAGTTTGATATATTTCTCCTCCCCTAGCGCGAAACACTCGCTGTGGCTGGATGCGCATTAAAGGTCCACTGAAGTGCCTTGAAACGTGCAGCTTTGTTTGACGTAATTTCCACTGAAACAGGAAGCTAAAGTGGGACATATTGAATGGCTCCTCCCCCTTTTCAAATAGCCAATAGCGTTTAGTTTACCTCACAGACTGCAAGTCGTACTTGACAGCACCATGGAAGCGAAATTGTAGCCATTTCATTCTTAACCAACGTACAGTTGGAAAACGGAATAAAACTTGGACGTTTGAGCAACCGAACACACATCTCCTAACCCAACCCATAAGGTGTTTACATGCCAGGGTAATGCCGTAATGGGCAAAAATCTAGCTCTGTCGTTTGGTTTATTCTTAAGCCGTTTATGATCTTACGCCGATAAAGGAAAATGGTTACATGCGTTTACAATGACCACACGCGTTGTCGGCTTAAGCATAATCGGTTTAAGAACGTGCATGTAAACGCACACCAACTGCACTGCTCCAGTCCAATGCAGAACATGTAGTCATAGAATCAAGCGGCTTGTCCACAGACATGTTCACTGACCGTCTGATGGATGTGACAAGCAAGACTGATTGGCTGGCTTGGATAAAATTGTCTGCCAAATGTGTAAATAATATATAAATGTAATGTACTGCAAGTTCCAGAAGTCAGGGAGCACACAGGTTTTTATCAGTTTGGTGAGAAAAAATTCATGTTTCCAAGATACATATACAATAGCCTTAATTTATTAAAAGAATTTGTGTAAAATCATTCTACTGTAATTGTCACATTAAATTCAATGCACTTATTTATGTAACACTATGTTTACACTAGAAGCGACCAATGTCATATTGCTTAAAGGTGCATTGCGCAACTTTTCATGTTAAAAATACCTGTTTTTCTATCCTATACATGCTTAAAGAACTGCCTGATGGGCTGAATGAGCCCTTCTCTGCGCACTGAGATTGCCTCTATAATCCTGTACAGTAAAATATATAAGAGGGATTCGGGCTCGAATTTGAGACTGGGCGTGACGTCATGCGCGTTCACGCTCACCAGGCTATGTCTCGCAGGTTTGTGTATTCGCCGGCGCCGCCATTCTCCGCATCAGCGAAGACAACTCGTGCGTCAAAGGTAGAAGATGGATTCAAAGAGACCGGCTTGTAGTCCATTCTAAACCCCAACGCAAACTCCACGTAATGTAAAGAAAAGAAAAATTTTGTCTAGTGCCACCAAAAGGTCCAAATTGGAGTAAGACAGGCGTCGGAGTAAGACGAGAGTCAACCTCGGGAAGGCATTCAACAAATGGAGAGATCTCCGGTCTGCTCTTGGTCTCAAACGGGATCCTCAGTTGGCTTTTTTCTTGATAAAACGATAAGATATAGCCCAGTCTCTAATATTTGATACGGCAAATCTATGTATGACAACAAATGACGATGCGTAAAATGTGTAATGCTTTAGCGTAAGCTAGATACATGTACAATCAGAATTGGTTGCAGTTTCGCTTGTCGCCAGAGGGGGCGTAGTTCTGCAAAAACTCAGAGACTTGCGTTTTGCACCTTTAAGGCTGTCAGCACTGGAAGTGTCGAAGCTGAGTGTCACCTCAAAGCTTGACTTCAGGAGCAGTCACTTGTTTCCTACTTTATTCCATCGGAAATACATTAAAAATGCCTTTTTTATGGGCTATTTTATAACCACATTTATACATTATGCAAGTGTTGCATAAAATCATGGTTAGACTTGAATTAGTAGGCCAGAATATACGCTATACCTTTTGAAAGTTTAGAGTCAGTATGATTTTCTTAAAGTTTTTTGAAGAAAGTCACTTATGCTCATCAAGGGTGCATTTATTCGATCAAAAATACAGTGGAAACAGTAATTTGGGGAAATATTATTTCACTTTTAAATAAATGTTTTCAATTTTAATATCTTTTAAAATGTAATTTATTCATGTGATAGCAAAGCTGAATTTTCAGCATCATTATTCTAGTCTTCAGTGTCACATGATCCTTCCGAAATCATTCTAATCTGCTGATTTGGAGCTCAAGAAACATTTAATTTATTATTATTATTTATTATGTTGAAAACAGAAGGGCTGCTTAATATTTTTTTGTGGAAATTGTAATACATTTTTTCAGGATTCTTTGAATAGAGCAGCATTTATGTGTAAAAGAAATCGTATAACATTATACATGTCTTTACTGTTACTTTTAATGTATCCTCCCAGATTAAAAGTATTGATTTCTTTCAAGAAAAAAATCTTAATGGCCCCAAATTTTTGAACGGTAGAGTATAATGTTTCATAGCAGTCAATTGATGAAATTTGTACATAAATAAAGTAAAAAAGTTCCAAAGTGTCTGGAAAACCTGTTCCATAAATAGAAAAGTGGGATCCGTCAACTGAAGGTGCATTGCAATTTGCCACAAGGGACACTTATTTTCAGATTTAACCAATCCTAAACATCATAAAAATGTAAATAACTGCAGTTGGCCTCTTTATAAGTCATGAAGATGGTCTCTTTCTGTTGAAGTAGGTATTTCTTTGCCAGAATAATGTACAAAGTGGTTCATAATATATGCTGATAGTTGAACACAAAGGTATTAAAGTCGGCATGAAACAAAAGATGCAATAGTCTTATCGTATATCCGAGTGAAACGGCTTCTCAAACAAGAAAAAATGTAAAGCTGGACCCGAAGCCTAAATCCGAATTCAGAAAGGCATGGAAAATTAATAATGTATTCTACGGAGCCTCCAAAGGGACGCGGTTAGGCTTGCTGCGGTAGTCGGTTACATTACAGTACATCAGATTTTAATTATCACATGAGGATAGTAAGGAGAGGTGACTGACAGGATGATGTTGGAGGATTTGGTGCGCAACAGATCCTGAGCATCATTGACAAATATCTTATCTTTTAAAATGAGTGGTCAGTACCGCCGCTCCCTATAGACAGAGTACACGTGATCGCAAATTGGAAAGTGAAAGTGAAAAGCGGGAGGGCATTCAAAATATTTTTTCCCCATCACCGTGTCCCTTTAGGGGCTCACTAACGGGGCTCATAGTATTCGGCTTCCGGCACATCCCTATGTGAGTGACAGTTTGTCCCGCCCTCGCGCCAGTAAACGCATCATCAGAGAAAAGAAGAGATGTCGCCGCAAGAGGGAGGGGAAGTAATTTTGATTAAAGATTATGAGGGCACATGAATTTACCAAAAAAATTCAATAATGGTGTGCACGGATAAATCATTTATAATGAATACTGCAATATTCCATAACAAATACGAATTTCATGTTGACTTTAAGGACTGAGGTATTGGTACAACAGGTCAAGCTTAACAATTGCTCCACACAGTGATGCTAAGAATGTATCTCTGGTGATTGTGTAGCATGCACAGCTCCAAAGAAGGGGATTTAACATGAGGCTGGCCATGTGAACTCAAGCTGAAGTAAGCATGCCCAAATGATTATGTTATGCCATCTGAAATAGCAGTCATTCTGGCCGCAGGAGGGGAGAGACACTCATAACAACCCCCTGATGAATATTATATGCTTGTGTATGTGTCTGGGAATTCATCACAGCTCTTCACTAGTGACTTTCCCCTCAGCAGTGCCTTGGAGGTTGGCGATGTGCTTCCCACCCAGTATTCGCCGTCCTGTATCTCACATGCTTCGTGAATGTCACTAAGATCCGGCATGCCAGATCAGTCTGTCCATCTGTTTATCCCTCTCTCTGGCTTTCGTCCTCAGCCACGTCGCCCAAGATGCACCGAACGTGACAGTAAATGTACACACTACACCCACGCACTCTGAGGTATAAATATATCTGTGACATAAAAGGGCTAGTGCACTTAGGGTCGACGAACGCTCTACTACAACTGGCTTCAGATGAATAATAGAAGCGTTTTAAGGTCTCTCACTACATGACTTCAAAACAAACTGAAATTTTTGTAGTTGATTTTTGCAGGAAAGCAAGCAGGAATAATATAAATTTCACAAATTCCCAATATTGACAGCAAATGAAAGCCCTGCTGAGTGCCACACTGAGGTGTCATTAATCACACCCAGCAAAGTGAGAAAAAGAGGCAACTGTTCCAACAGAAAATGGTTTCTGATGACACTCAGTGCCAATATATTCTGAATATTGTTTTCATAATGCCAACATGACATATTGGTATTCTTAACAGACTAAAACAAATGAAGGAGATCTACAGAGGAAGAGCTACAGAAGAAGATTAGATATATAGGAATACTTGTTGATACCATAGTTGCGATTCAACGATGGTGGAATGACTCCCATATAGTGATAAAACACTAAAGATGTGATTTTCATGTAATCACGATGTCCTTTTATTAGATCTAATAGGGAAGTTATAAAATCAAATCATGTTTGGAGAATTATCGTTAACTACAAATGCAAAACATTTGCGAGAACACAAAAGCATTGACAAATATTTTTTTCATATTCATTTCCCTTGAGGGGCTTCGTACCTTGGCAACTAACTGAAAACATGTTTAAGTTAAAGACTAAAATTACTAACTGCAAATGAGTAAAAACTAAAACTGAACTAAACCCAAAACTGAAATAAAAATGAATAAAAAAACTAAATAAAAATATCAACAAAACTAACTCAAAACATGAATAAAATCGATAATAGCATATTAAAAATGCCAAGATAACACTTGACTCAACTGCCAAATGCAAAAGCAAATTGCATAAAGCATTAATCAAACAAAGCTCTGGGCACTTTCATGGTAAATCGAGCAATTCATTTATTAAACACTCACGTCCCCAAGACCTCCTTGAAATCGTAATTTTCCTTGATATCAGTTGTCTTCTTTTTCCATCCATTTTCATCCTCTCCTAAAGGCATTGTATAGTTGATTTCCACTCAGGAACTAAAAAAAGACAGAAGTAGAGGTCAATTAATAAGTCATTGAAAAAGAAAATGTAGAAGTTCAATACAAGACAGACACACAGAACAGAGAAAACATAATCACTGCCACTGACGCGTGCATGTGCGAATGGCGTCGTCACATGGTACCTGTTACTTGTCTCAATGCAGGGGAAGATGGGTCAAACCAATAGTTTGTGCTTGCATAATAAGATATTTTATTAAGCCTAGTGTTTGCAGTGACTGCTTGATCACATTGTCATCTGTAAGCCAGTGACCAATTTGGCTATTTTTAGATTATTTTTTAGAGGCAAACTCCAGTGACTCTATATAACTGACATAAATTAATCCATATTAAAATATTCATCGAAACTTTTAAACTATTTTAATTCCACAAGTCCTACCTTTAGTCCTCAAGAACTTCCTTTACATGAAACTATTGATGGGTCTAAATGGATTAATGTGATTCAGCAGTATTAATGCTCCTCTGAGGAGCCACTACTGACACACACTTATTGACATTTCTAACAAGCTAGGTCGAATTAGGCTACACAGAGTACACCATCACACTGCAGGTGTGTGTGTGTGTGTGTGTGTGTGTGTACCTACCTAGGGTTTCCCTTCAAAAGGTTTTTTATTTTATTCAACAAATAAACTCATACATTGTGTATATATATATATATATATATATATATATATATATATATAAACTGTCAAATTTACAGTAAAACAAACTGCCAACTATGGTTGCCAGAAATTCACTGTAAAAAAAATGTGGTGACAATCATGTTTCCAGTTTTACAGGATGTCTGTATATTTTACAATTTATAACAGTATATTTCATTAAGTTATATACATCCCCGGTTTCACAGACAAAGCTTAAACCTAGTGCCAGACTAAAATGCATGTTTGAGCTGTTTTAACTGAAAGCAACTTGCACAAACATTTTTTTAAATATGTCAGTGCCATTGTTTTGTCTCAAGATGCACACCAGTTTAAGGCATATAAAAGCTACTTAAATATTCTAATTGAACTAAGCCCTAATCCTGACTTAATCTAAGCCCTGTTTGTGAAACCAGGGCATCATGTTTATACACCTACTTTAACTACCAAAATCTGCCTTTTTATTTAAAAAAAAACAGATAACCACCACAATAATACATGATGAATCAGAGTTCATTGTAAGAGGCTGTTAATCTTCTAAAAATCTTTAGCCATTTTTAATTCATTGAAAACTTTGTCAGTTTTAAAGATCTTTAAAACAGATGATCACTGGCTATGTTGATGTTAAATTTGATTGTTGTAATTCTGGAACCTATTAAATACAGCTGTAATCGAAAATCAACTTTTAATGAGATGTATAAGAGATGTATAACCAGACACCAGCTTCTGGCAGCGTTTCTGAAGAATCTGCTTCCAACGGTGTCACTAGGAACATTTAGTCCCTTCTCTATCTTATTGTATCATGTTCCTTGTTTGTGAAGGGCGGTGATATCTTAACTCAACTTATCTCTTAACTTTTTGGACCATTCTTCTGACTTATAGCCATATTTCTAACATGCAGTCAAACGTGACACTCAACAAACATAGCCAGTTCAGATATGTCATGTGTTCAAGCTCAAGCACACCTGGTGCAACTAATGAAGCCCTTGATTAGCTGCATCAGGTGTGCTTGAGACAACACCGGTTTTGCAGATTTGTGCTGTTGTGAGGGATTCTATTTCAGGGCATTGAATAATTTTGAGAAAAAAGGTGTGTAAGCTTAAAAAAAGAAAAGAAAGTAAAAATATATATAGGTTACACACCTTCTTTCACAGACCATTTGTTTAAAAAACAAAACAAATAACATCAGCTTTATTTTGTACCCTGTTCATAGAAATTGCCAGGTCAGAAAAGCAAACCAGACAAAATAACAAACAACTGAGCAGATCCAGCAACCCATAACTCTCAAATATGCATATAGCATAACTTGTATGGTTTCAACATCTTCCTGTTACTTAGCGCTTAGCGTAATCCCATGATGTTTGAACGTAATTGCATGCTATTATATAAAGATCAGTAACTTACTTTTAGCAAAGGAACACAGGCTACAACAAAATAAGGCTAAAAATCAACTGTGAATCATATGATCATAGAAAAACCGCTGTTCCTCAGATAAATTGAAAACATACAATTCACAAAAACCCTTACCAATGTCTCAAAGTGCTCCGCATCTTCATTGAACAAGCAATGCATTATGCCAATGGGTGCATATTGTTCGTGTATGTGTATGTGTGTATTCAGACACTGCGCATATGCGCATGCAGGAGTCTGATGCCACCTGCACTATTAATCTTCTATGAACAGACAAGGAAACTATACATGAATTGACTGGGGAAAAAAGATGCGTTTTCTGTTTTAAATCGACGTTATCTTAGACAGACACCTAATGCAATGTCTGTATTGCCCACATCATGCATTAAAGCTTGTGTCATTGCAGAAGATTAGCCTATGCTTCTACATTTAAATCAGTTCAGACACATCAACCGCTGACTTCGAGGAAAACTTAAAATAAATGCAATACCTGATCGACTGCTCCTATGGAAGGATGGTCCTCTTCTGCCTCTTTATCTATCCGCAATTCTCTTTCGATGCAATAGTTGCGGGATCTACCCTGACGTCAAATAGCGACTGGAGGAGGCGTATTTTATTTGAATGATTCAATATAATGATACAATCCGGACATCATGATACTATTCCCGAGTACCATTCGCAGAACCCTATTGTTGGACCACAATGGCAAATGACTTAACATTAACAAATTACAGCCAATCCATTAAGTAAATAAATAAAAATCCCCCCAAAAATCGTTCAAAGTACGTACATACGGTACATACACATTTTTTTTTCATCTTGCATTTGCACATTTATATAATATTGGGTTAGTGTAATTCTTTTTTTTTTAATGAATTAATTTATTAAATTGGCGTGCCGTAGAATGTTCAGTTTGTGGCCAAAAGCCAGAAAAATAGCGTTTTCAAACAAACAATGGGTTCCCATGTAAATTTCCACCGTTTTTTTAGAATGCAGCATCTTGTTACAGTTCTAAAGATTAATCGAAAGTATTTAATCAATTAAAAATGACACTTTTAAATTATTTTAATTATTGTTTAGTTGATCTTTTTTTGTCTTTTTTAATAGTAATATATTTTATACTGTAAAATTATTATTTTTCATTATTATTATTTATTATATATCAGTTATTCTTAAAAAGTTTTTTCTTTTTTAAGCTCCATAATTATTTTTGTTCATCCTTTTGCACAATTCAGCACTGGCTATATAGGCTAAGTTTGCTTACGTTGTAATTTTGGGGAAAAGGGAATAAATAAAAAAAGAATACATTCTGGATAAAAGAATAATAGAAAATAAAACATTAAATCTGCTGAAAATGCTCATCTTAACTCTAATGCCGTTTGTTTTCATTTTTAGTGAGTAGAAATGAATGTTATTTTAACAATATTTAAAATATTCTACATTTTAGGAAGTGGGGAGGGGCTTCTTGAAAGCACTTCCGGTTTCTTATGACGAAGGAGGCAGGACTTTGTTAGCTGTCCTCCTACTTGCTAGCTAACAGTTGCCACTCTGTTGCTACTGAAGGATAATTCCTAGCTGCGCCAATAAAGTAGCGATTTTAATACGGGTAGGTTAGCGTATTTCTAAGGCCTTTTGTTCCCGAATACATTGATTAACTTCAGCGAGATTAATATAAGAAACCGAAGTGCGCTTAGAAGTGAGTGAGTACGAGAGCACACCTCGCGACCGCTCTTTTGTTTGATTGAAACACGAAGTGTCGATTGGCTGTTGGCGTTTAGGGATTGTTTACCGGAAGATTAGCACTCGGCTAAGTATGCTATTCCACACAACACTGTACATGCATACAGTTCATAGCATAATAGCTTCCGTTATAAGCTGACTTCAAAGCTGGTATGAAAGAATGCATATATGAGTGATGAATTAATACCCAAACCTTTCTTTGTCCTTCCTCAAGCAGGCGAACTGTAACGTTAGTTTGTTAATGACTAGTAGTTCGTATAGACATTGTAAACAACATCTTGTATTGCTGAATAATACATGGTGAGGTACAAATTTACAGTTAATTATGTTAGTTATGTAGTGGCATATAATACCATCTTAAACAACATGAAAATATTTTCCATTCTCTTTGAGCAAAGAGTTGCCACATTCAAATGTCAGGACGTTTTTGGTCTTACTGTATAGATAGATAGATACTAACGATTGGTGCCTACTACCTGACATACATCATGGAAATCTTCTCCACAAAATTATTTTTTTGTTTTGAAGATCTCCATCAGGAATGGATATTCATTAGTCAAAAGTGGTGGACGCCCTGTGTCTAAAAGGATGTTTGGGTTATAAACAGGTACTGTTTCAATGGGCTCCAAGAGAAGACGAGCCACCTCTCCCTCCAGCAGTGCCAGCGGAGGAGACTTTGATGATGCCACCTCATCCACCCCAGTCAGTGGGTGGAAGAGGAGGAGAGCTTCCACTGCTCCTTCTGTCGATCAAGTGAGTACATGGGGTTTAGTGTATTTACGCTGCTTGCTTTGGCACACACTTTAAATCACACTTATGCATCTTGTCTTTTTATGTGACTTTGAATGTATCCCATCTTTAGATTGCTGTATGCCATGAATTGTACAACACTGTCAGAGATTACAAAGACGACCAAGGCAGACAGATCTGCGAGCTCTTTGTTCGTGCACCAAAGAGGAGGTACACGTATATTCCTTGCCTTTGAGCGTAGTCAAATGTTTGGACACACCTACACCTTTTCTTTTTTTTTTTTTGGGAATTCATAAAACTGAATCTGATCCCATTCAGGGTTATTATAGTCAACGTAAACCAGAACAGACATTTTTGTTACTGAAGTAAAATAAGTTTTTTTAAGGTAGCATTTCTCAGACCTATTAAAACAAATGCCAAAAACCTCATAACAATGTTACCAAAACTTTAAAATTAAAACAAAAAATATAAAAATAAGAACTCATTTTCAAATGTTAATAAAAGCAATATCATTGATACTAAAATTAAAAGAACTCCGGCCCAATCCATTTCACAAAATAGTACTTTTGGGGAGAAAATTCCCCAAAGTGTTCATTAAACATATTTTGCTGGACTGTAATATTTTTACCCCTTCGAGGAACTTGTTTTATTCTGTTGGTACTTTTAAAAAAATTAAGTAAATCCAAATTAATTCTTAAGGTTTTTAGAATTTTTTGTTATCTTAAACATATTTTTATTTTTGAACAACTAAACTGGCTCTCACCATGAAATAGCCGTAGAAGCTGGCATTGTAATCACACTTCTTTATTCTGTTTAATTCTTTTTAAAAATGAATTTTACAATGTGATGAAATAAATCATACTGATTTAATGCATGCAATAGACACTAATGTGCGCCTCCACCTCTCTTCCTATTTTTCTTGTTTTAGGAATCAGCCTGACTATTATGAAGTGGTGAGTCAGCCCATAGACATGATGAAGATACAGCAGAAGCTCAGGGCAGAAGAATACCAGGATGTAGAGCAGTTCTCAGCTGACTTTCATCTGCTTATTAATAATGCCAAAGCTTACTATCAGGTGAGTTTGGATTTACATATTTAAGTGCATTTAATATTGAAGTTTCTGACACATGAATCAGCACAGTTTGTCCAGTATTTTAGACTGCTGATTAGCCATGAATACATTCCACGAGCAAAAATCTTCAGCATCACAGCCACCGTCAACTCAGAAATGCTAATATACCCGTGGGTCTCTTACAACAGGCTGACAGTGCTGAGTATAGAGCTTCCGCTAGGCTTTTGAATGTCTTCCTGTCCACCAAGAATGAACTGCTACAGGGAGGGGAAGGAGAGGAGGCAGATGATGATGAGGAAGGGGATGATGTGGAGAACCCAAGTGCTTCCATGGAGGAGGAGGTGAAGATGTTTCCTGTTTGTGGATGGCTAGTAGTTTTATTTCTGTGCACATCCAGACTGATATCATCTCTTTCTCCTCTGTATGTCTGCTCAACAGAGACCACCAAGCTATCTTAAAGCCATACTGGAGCAGCTCTTGGAGGCCATTGTGTCATGCACTGATTCAACAGGGAGGCTTGTTAGTGAGCTCTTCCAAAAACTTCCCTCCAAATTGGTGAGACCCAAGTTTGTCCACTCGCTTAATAAGGATAATCTAGTTTATAACTTTAATCAAATCTGACTTAAGTTCCACTTTGGTGTTACATGTAGTTTACTTTCATTGATTCATTTCTTCTTTTGCACATGCCTTTCTTTCCAGCATTATCCAGACTACTATGCTGTTATAAAAGATCCAATAGATCTGCGCGCTGTGGCTCAGAGGATACAGGTATTTGAGGCTTTGAAAGCATTCTATCTCACAATAGCAATGGAAATGTGCACATCTGGAGCTGCTATAATGATTTCAACCATGGCATTACTGTCAGAGGCTGTTGATGTAATATATCTGTCATAATTGTATGTAATAAATAACAATAATATGATGTAAATTTTAAAGTCTTTGTTTAATAATTATTATAATAACCTCTTGGCATCTTTATAATAGTAATGTTTTGTTCTGTTGTAGGCGGGACATTACAAATCCATCAGTGCCATGGCCAAGGACGTTGATCTTTTGACCAAAAATGCCAAAACCTACAATGAGCCAGGGTCACAAGTTTTCAAGGTTTGTGTTCTTGTGTACCCTTATCTATCCATCACATACATTGAGCTCATTTTTATATAACAAACTCATTTTTATCTTTCTAAAGGATGCAAACACAATTAAGAAGGTATTTTCCCAGAGAAAGACCGAGATTGAACAGGCTGAACCCACTAAATCCAGCCTCCGTATCAGGTGTGTCCTGTTTGCGTAAGCTTGTTGTTGTGAAGAGGCATGTTTTAGTCTGTAACACGTTTTGTATGCGTTTTGCTAGAAACCGGAGGTCTGCTCAGGGTGACCGCCTGTCTGCCATCACTATGGCTCTTCAGGCTGGATCTGAAAGTGATGAAGACTCCATTCTCACAGGTTACATCCATAGTTCCCCTTTGACATCCATTTTCTAAGATTACTCTATAGCAATCTATTTTAGAGAGCCTGCCAACTCTACTTATGCAAAAATATATTGGCATGGTCCGCTTTTGAATGATTGTTCTTTGAAGTACCTTTGTCTGTCCTTATACTCTGTCTCAGGCACTGTGCGTTTTGACACTGGAGAAACGGAGGCTGATTGTGGTCTGAGTGCAGGTGACCCAATCCTCCAGTTGTACCAGTCAGTGCGAGGAGCACGAAGCGTTCAGGGGAAGCTTCTCGCTGAACCGTTCCTCCAGCTGCCTGTGAGAAGGGAATACCCAGACTACTACCACCAGATCAAAAACCCCATCTCCCTACAACAGATCAGGTGTGGATAACACACATGAATATCTGATTATTTTAATCTTAAAGGTTAAAAAAGTCAAGTTTACTTTACACACTCTTTCCATGTTTTACATTTCTTAAAGGGATAAAATGAAGAATGGAGATTATGATGGAGTCGAGCAGATTGAGGCTGACCTTACACTCATGCTTGAGAATGCTAAACGCTACAACATGCCCAACTCCACCATATATAAACGTGCTCAGAGGTTACAGCAAATAATTCAGGTCCGTCTGCTTTGATATACAGTTCTGTTCCATAGCCTAATGAGCTAACTGAGGAATGATAAAATGACGGTTAATTATTTGGTTTGAATTTGTGTTCTAGCAAAAGAAAAGAGAGCATCGAGATGATGATGAAGGAGATGTCTCTACTGCAAATTCTGACGTAGGAAGTGGCAAAAGGAAAAGGTGAATTTCTTGTTGTTGACCACACTTGCATTATTTTCATCAATATGACTTGCAATCACTAATGAAAAATCTTTTTGACATTCTTTTCTTTTTGCTGCCATAATCTGATCCTAACAGCCATAAGAAGAACACCAAGAAAAACCGAATGAAGACACTGTGTTCTGCAGTGACTGAAGCACGCGAGGCAGGCACTGGACGGCGCCTCTGTGACCTCTTCATGGTGAAGCCCTCTAAGAAGGACTACCCAGACTACTACCAGATCATCCAAGATCCAATGGACATGCGTACCATCGAGAACAATATCCGCACTGAGCGTTATAACAATGAGGATGCACTTATGGATGACATGAAGCTTATGTTTCGCAATGCCCGCCACTATAATGAGGAGGGATCTCAGGTGGGCATTATGACTACTCAAACTGAATGCTTTTCAACTTTATTAAATCAACTTCAAAGTTAAAATAGACAACCGATCAAAAGTTTGGGGTCCATAAGATTTTTTCATGAAATAAATTAATACTTTTATACAACAAGAATGCATTAAATTGATCAAAAGTGACAGTAAAGATATTTTTAATCTTACCCAAAACAGCAGCAGCACAACCGTTTTCAACAATGATGATAATAAATTTTTCTTAAGCACCAAATCAGCATATTAAAATGATTTCTGAAGGACCATGTGACCCTGAAGACTGTAGTAATGTAGCTGAAAATTCAGCTTTGCCGTAACTGGTATAAATGATATTCTAAAATATAGAAAAGTTGTTTGAAATTCTTAAAATATTTCACAATTTGACTGTTTTTACTGTATTTTTGATCAAATAAATGCAGCCTTGATGAGCAGTACCTTCTTTTTGATTTATTTTACTTCTTTCTAAAACTTAGAGAAAAAAAAACTGTATCAACTTCAAACTTTTGTATGGCATAACAACATTAAGGGCTCATTCTTATCTTTTGCAAGTACGTCTGTGATAAGAATGAGACTTACGGAGGTGTTAAAGGAAGATATTATAAAGATCCAATAATATTGTGTCCTTAACTCATGCAGGTTCAAACCCAAATATAGTCCTAAAATCTAATAGTTTGAATATTTTGTGTGTCATTACTTTTTTTTTTTTTTTTTTTACCCACAGGTTTATAATGATGCAAATATCTTGGAGAAGATTGTTAAGGATAAACAGAAAGAGCTTGGCCCTCCCCTGGAGGAAGATGACGTTGGCTCTCCCAAACTCAAGCTTCGTATGTTTTTTGGCAAAAATACACTTTAATGCAAATACATTAATAGAGAGACGAATTTTAGATTTAACAAATGCCTCTCTTTTTTAAGGCCGTAGTGGAGTTGCAGCCTCCCCTAAAAAGGCTCGTACACAGACAACACCACTCCAGCAGAAGCTTTCTGATCTCTACGAAGCTGTGCGCAATTTCACAGACAATCGCGGTCGGCGTCTCAGCGCCGTTTTCCTGCGTCTGCCATCACGTTCTGAGCTGCCTGACTATTATGCCGCCATTAAGCGTCCCATTGACATGGAGCGTATACGAAGCTACATGGTACAGGGGCGCTACCAAGACATCGACTCACTGGCAGAAGATTTCATCCTTATGTTCAACAACGCCTGCACCTACAATGAGCCTGAATCTCTAATATACCGTGATGCTCTGCTGCTCCATCGAGCCTTTCTGGAAGCCCGTCGACGGATTGAGGATGAAGAGGATGGAGATGAAGGTGGTCTGGGTGGTTTGTCAGTTGCCTCTCTCGTGCGTGAGCTCATCCGTAACCTCTTCGTTTCAATGATGGGGCACCAGGATGACGAGGGCCGCTGCTATAGTGACTCTTTGGCGGAAGTTCCCGCCATTGACCCCACTAACTCGGAGGACCCACCCCTCAATCTAGAGATTATTCGTAATAATGTGGATCGCGGCCGCTACAGGAGACTGGACGTGTTCCAGGAGCATGTGTTTGAGGTACTGGAGAAAGCAAGACGTCTCAACAGGTAAGCAGTGAAGAGTGTGAAGACCAGCTTTTTTTGTCATCATTAAAAAAATGCTTAAATTGTATGAATATATTTCTTTCTGTGGATGGAATTATGGAAGTATGCTGCTTTTTTATAAACTGAAAGGGAATGGGGTTAGGCTTTAAAAATGACTAAAAACACCAAAGTGTCAAAAAAAGGCTCAATATGATTTGTTGGCTATGTGCCAAGTTTTTGAAGCCATGCGATAGCTAGCTGTGTGTTTGGTGAAAATCTTCCCTTCCGTCGTTTGTTTCTCAAACATCACTCCTCAATTCAGCAGTAAGTCATATTGGACCATCTTTATGAGCTGTTTGTTAATTTTCAAAAGTTCATTATGTGGAAAACCGTTGCCTGGACATTCTGTTAAATTTCTCTGTTTATGTTCGATGGAAAAAAGATATGTGTTTGGAATGACATGAGAATGAGTACATGACAAATTTTCATGAATAATTCATTTAAGCTCCATTTTGGTCTAACAGTGTGAAGTTTGATGGTAGAGTCAACATGAATTGATCTTAGAAAATGTAATCTGAGAATTCATAACAGCTATTGTGTGTTATCAGGACCGATTCTGAGATCTTTGAGGATTCTGTGGAGTTGCATTATTTCTTTGTGAAGATCCGTGACGAGCTATGCAAGAATGGAGAACTCTTGCTTACCCCAGCACTGAGCTACACATCCAAACATCTGCATTCCGACATAGATCAAGAGAAGCGAGAGAAACTGCCCCAAGAAATTGAGGAAGACCGGCTGAAACAGGAGGAAGACAAAAAAGGTTTCCAAAATTGCTTCCAGCATTTTAAAAGTTATGCATGTAACACCCCAGGCTACCTTTTAAAATCTTGCTGCTAAAATGACTCCCCAATATAGAAGTGTACTAATGTGTACTTTGCTTTTATGATTTTTAGCTCTTCCAGAAGAGGGCAAAGTAGAGGGTCCTGCAGGAAGCCAGTGGCCGTCAGGTCCTCAAAGCTCATATAGTCAGGACTGCAGTTTTGAGAACAACACCTACAGCGTGGGAGACTGTGTATATGTTCAGCCTTCAGAAGCAAATTTGCAGCCCCACATTGTCTGCATTGAGAAACTCTGGAAGGATGAAGCTGGTGTGCACATCCTCACTTTTTCTTTAATTGCTGCTCCTTGCTATTTCTCTATTTCTTTATTTTTTTTACAGATGTATCACCTCCATTTGCTGTGAACTTATGTCAAAACTCATAATTATATATTTGTTTTAAATCATTATTTTTTTTTGCATTAACATTTGGATGTGTTTGTTTTCTGCAGGTGAGCAGTGGATGTATGGATGTTGGTTTTATCGTCCAGGAGAAACTTTTCACCTGGCCACTCGTAAGTTCCTGGAAAAGGAGGTATTTAAGAGCGACTATTACAGCCGTGTGCCTTTCAGCAAGATCTTGGGGAAATGCGTTGTGTTATTTGTAAAGGTGAGTAATGAGCCACATTCAAAATAAGTTTTAGATAGATTAATTAATAAGTTTATCCCACAGTTTCACAGACAAGACTTAAGCCTAGTCCCAGACTAAAATGCATTTTAACTGAAAGCAACTTGTGCTGACATTTCTTAAAATATGTCAGTGTTATTGTTTTCTCAAGATACACACCAGTAATGTTTTTTTTTTTTTTGTAAGGCAAGGCATGTATATATAAAAGTTACTTGTCCTAATTGAACTATAATGCCAAATCCTGGCTTAATCTAAGCCATGTCTTTGAAACCAGGCCTGTATGACCAAGAGGTTCACAAAATACAGCCATAAGCCACAAGAGGCTCACAGGCTCTTAAAGTATTGTGCGTTTAAGTCTCTTGAATGTGGGATTTTTTTTAGGAGTATTTCAAGTTGCAACCAGAAGGCTTTAAACCTGAAGACGTCTATGTCTGTGAATCCCGCTACACTGCCAGGACCAAAACCTTTAAGAAGATCAAAATATGGTCAGTGCCGTCAAACTCTGTCAAACTAGTCTCTCGGGAGGTTCCTTTACCTGTAGTCAGAGTTGTGTCCATGTTTGTCAGTGCAAAAGACAAAGTGGCTGCTCTTCCTGATGGAGAGAGTGGTGGCTTCATCGAGAAGGTATGGAGGATTGATTTTGAGTACAGTTCTTATTTAATTCTTATTTAAATTGATTTAGCATGTAAAACATTTTTTTTTAACTTTAACACAGGAGCGAGAAGATGTTCCAGTTGAAGTGGCCAATGGGGAGCCGGGTTGCCAGTACTTTGAACAGCTCCACTACAATGACATGTGGCTTAAAGTGGGCGACTGTGTCTACATACGTTCCCATGGACTGGTGCGAGCACGAGTTGGCAGGTGGGCAAAATCATGCTTATTTTACCCAAAGTTCTCATTTAACCAGAAAGCTTTGACAGTAATGCAAGTCTACAGCAATAGTCTGAGTTGTTATGGTTGACATGGACAGGATCGAAAAGATGTGGCTGAGGGATGGAGCAGCATTCTTCTTTGGACCCATCTTCATCCACCCTGAGGAAACAGAACATGAGCCAACAAAGATGTTCTACAAACGTGAGGTGTTCCTCAGCAATCTGGAGGAGTCCTGTCCTATGACCTGCATCTTAGGTATGGGCACCAAGTGAATGAATTAATTGTAATGAAATCCTAGTTTTATATATATCAGATTGTTGTCCATCCACAACCCATAGCCCACCGAACTGTGGGTGTTCAAGCTGTGATAAAGAAATTTTGCCAACCATTCTTGTCACATGCTGGTGCCTCTGGGATCATTATCATACTGAGAGACTTTTTATTTCACAAAGACACTAAAAATACAATTAAGACCTACTACTTGTGGATGTCTGCTGTGATTTTATGGTATAAGACTAGCCACCTCAGAACCCTGAATTCATAATTGAAGCAGTGCAGGCCGGGTCACTTGGCTCGAGAAAAGAACAAAAAAAAACCCAAGTGAAATAAATGATAGCAGTTCCAGGAGCAAATTTATCATGTTGACACTTTTATGACTGTGCTTGCTTACAAATAGGATTTATACTGGTGATTAAGTGCTTGAACATTTAATTTTTAATTCCTCTGTTCCCTGCCTTTTCTCAGAAAATTCTCTATTAGAAAACTTACTATAGGCCAAGTTTTTAATCTTTGTCTTTTTTCACAGGGAAATGTGTGGTCTCTTCTTTTAAGGACTTCCTGTCCTGCAGGCCAACTGAATGTCCAGAGGAAGACGTGCTCCTGTTCGAGAGTCGCTACATTGAGAGTGAAAAGCAGATGAAGAAGTTTAAAGCACTTAAACGTTTCTCCATCTCAGCCAAAGTGGTTGATGATGAGATCTTCTACTTTAGGTGCATTTTACTTTCCTACCTTTGTTTCAGTGGGAAGTATCACACAGCCAGAGTGTGTTTATAGAATGTGAATAGGTTATTTAAGAGTTCTTTAGTAGTATGTCTTATTGCTGTTAGTAAAAATCATTGATTGGGTTTATTTACTAACTGTTGCTTTAAATTAATTTTCAGGAAACCCATCGTGCCTCAGAAGGTGCCATCTCCCCTGCTGGATAAGAAGATTGAGGAGCTAGAAGCTAAGTTTGCAGACATGGAGGATCTGGATGAAGACATGGACGATCTGGATGAAGATGATGATGAAGCAGCAGTGACGCCCTCAATGCCACCCAGTCAGGCATCCGCAACAAGTGACCTGGATATGCCTTATACACCCCCACAGGTAGTTTCATACTCCCTAGAAATCAGCCTTTGCACACACTGTCCAGTTTGACGATATTGACCATTTTCCGATTATGGATGCATCATATAAATGTTTTTACAAAATTGTCTTAACCAAGTTAAACATGAAAATAATTAAACATGAATTGATGCTCATTTATATTGTAGATATTGTGATTGCTGTCTGTTTTTTTTCCTGGTAGTTATTTATTGACTCTTATCCCTTTTTCAAATTCTTCAACTGTCTAATTTTAAGCTGATCGGGCTCAACTTTTATTTCCCATATTTCATATTTTTAACAGTAGCTGTCATTTTCTTTACACCCCTGTTTACTATGCACAGTCCACACCAAAGATAAAAGGTATGTCCAAGAAGGAAGGAGCCAAGCGCAAAATCAACATGAGTGGCTACATCTTGTTTAGCAGTGAAGTTAGGTCTATTATAAAGGCTCGTCACCCTGATTTCTCCTTTGGAGAGCTGAGTCGACTAGTGGGCACAGAATGGAGGAACCTGGAAGCTACTAAGAAGGTGGAATATGAAGGTACAGTGTCAACACTTTTGAGGGGTTGCACTAGTCTGTTGTTATCATAGTTACTAATTTCTATTAAGATAAATATCCAGTCATACTCAAACTAAGCAATTTTTACAAGACATTGCAATAAATGCAACTAATTCTATCGTAATATAAGAGATGCATTTGATTTTTGATTGTGTCCATGTCTGATATTTCTTTTCAGATTTTAAATGATACGATTATTTTTCTTTCTTAAAAATAGCCAGGAGTAGGATATTTAATTTTCCCCCCAAAAATGAATGATTAGCTAGCTATGGTAACTTGGGGTGTTTTTGTTTTCTGCTATGCTAAACCATGCACAATGCATAATGCTTTGCTGATTATATGTATATGGCAACTGTTTATCTTATGCACAACATTACGCATACCGAAGAATCTGTTATTCAGTTATCAATGTTTTTCCAGAACGGGCAGCTAAACTGGTAGAGCAGCAGGAACGGGAGAGGGTCCTTCAGCAGCAACATCAGCAGCAGCAGCAGGCTTCTCCAAGAGCAGGTACCCCAGTCGGCACAATAATGGGAGTGGTGCCTCCCCCAAGCACTATGGGAATGCTAAACCAGGCCATGCCACCTGTGCCAGGTAACGCCAAATCTCCCCCACCCTGGCTGAAAGAGACAGATGCAGCGTCCGGGCACCCTCCAACAATTCTCGTCCATTTGAACCATCTAATACCTCAACTCATCAATCATGTCACTATCTTCTCCATACCAGCGATGTGCCCTTGCCCTATAAATTCTGATTCAGTTAATTTTATTAAATGTCTTTTGTTTTGTATGCAAACTTGCATTTTTTTTGTCATGTCTTTTGTTTTTGAGTATTGCCACGGTCTTTTCTCCTTTTGCATGACAACCTTTTTTTTATTAACCAGTAAACATGTAGAGCTCTTTTTTTACAAGCCTGAATTAACCACAATTCAGGCCTGGTTTCACAAACGGCTTCGATTAAGCCAGGATTAGGCCTTAGTTCAATTAGGATATTTAAGTAGCTTTTATAAACATGCCTTATAAAAAAACTTTACTGGTGTGTATCTTGAGACAAAGCAATGGCACTGACATATTTTAAGATATGTCAGAGCAAGTCTTTCAGTAAAAACGGCCCAAACATGCATTTTAGTCTGGGACTATAAGCCTTGTCTGTGAAACCGGAGGTTGAATATTCACACTTGTAAAACTCTTTCTTTGATATTGATGTTACTTGGTTTGTAGTTGCATGACGTTTTAGTTGGCTGCATGTCATCAATGCATGGATTTTTTTTTGTGCTATCTCCTCACCCAAGGCATGATGGGAAATTATGGCCCGCCCTACATGCCTATGCAAGGTCCTTCTGACGGCATGATGGGCATGGGTGGCATACCACCTCATCCCATGGGGGTGCCCCAGCTGCCTTCCCAGCACTTCCTTCTACCAGGCATGGCCGGGTACCCTGGTATGCCCCATCCGGGTAAGAAGCACCCCGATTAGTCAGAAATCCCACCTGAAGATCTTCTGACTAGCTCCAATCCAAATTGAAAAATAGGAAATCTGTGTTTATCTTGGTTTGAACTCATGGCTTTGTTTCAAAAACTAGTGAGCTGCCTGGACAGCAAGGCAACTTATTTGTTTTGAAATGAAGCCCATTTTTGTACATTGTTTCAGTGAATGAAGAAATGCTTTGTATAACTAGATAATATATGTATTTCTGCATGATCTAATTTTAGTTATATCCAATTCATAGGGTGGGAATATTCACACAGCACCACTAACATGCTAATGTTTTTTTTTCTCCTCAATGTCTCACTTTTTCTTTACTCAAGATTTGTCATCTCCATTTCTCTCTGAATCTTTGTTTTTTTTAGAAACACCATTTGTTTGGGGAAAATGTAACTTATAATTTATAATATAATTAATTAAATCAGTGCACATTATTTGCAACCTTATTCATCGATGTTAAAATGTAAAGTTTCGTGCAGTCATACAGCATTTATATATTAAAGACTGTTTCCTTCTCAGGAGTGATGGGCCCAGGAATGAACGGTATGGCTGGAAGTCCTGGTCCTGGAAGCCATTATGGCATGCAGGTAAAGAACAAATTCATGCAGCTTTCACTAGTGACACTAAAGCAGATGCAGTTTGCAATCTCCAGCCATATTTGGACGGGACTAGTTTTCTAAACAACCTTTGAATTACAATTTATTTAGTGAGTTACAAGTTATCACTTTTCACATTTAATTTACAGATTCAGTCGGGACTAACATCTCCATGTTTATTACAGAAGCGCGAGTGTTTTTTTTTTTTTTTTTTTTTTTTGCATGTCTTTTAATTAATTTTTTGTTGATATGATTTTAATTATAAAAATTCTCGAGTTTATAGCAGTGGCTGTTTATAATAAATCAGTGAGCTGAGAAATCTAGACAAGTGGGCTTTTACCTGACCCTGATATTAAAATGGGCAGTCTTCGCATTTTCCGCGATTTGGCTTTATTAATTGTATATGTAATTTTTTTGTCGAATACCATCCATATTGAAACTAAATTAAAGCATGCCGAAGATTGTTGCACAAACGGTAGCTCAGGAAGGTAAAAAAACATGAGGAGAAGCATTGGGTAATACAACATCAGCCATCACAGACATTCGCATTTTGACGGGATAATATTTCTCAGAGGACCGTTGAGTTTGCCCGAAAACAGTAGGTAATTTGCCCTGGAATTTTTACAGAGGTTGTGTGAGAAAAACACAGACTTGGCAGATTCGGAAGGGATTAAAATCGTAAAGTACGTCTGTGAAACATTTCTCTAACGACCTCCTGGAAAAATAGTCCCATCCGCATTAGACCTATGTCTTTACTTTTCTCTTTGTCCTTTCAGATGGGTGGATATGGGCCAGGGCAACAAGCTCCACCACCATATCCAGGTCAAGGTCAACCAGGCCAGCATCCAACCCCACCTATGTTTGTCGCCCCACCTCCAAAACCCCAGCGTCTTCTGCATTCAGAGGCTTATCTGAAGTACATCGAGGGCCTCAGTGCTGAATCCTCCACCATCAGCAAGTGGGACCAGAGCCTTAAAGGTAAAAATCATTTGTGTAGAAATTCGAGAGTTGTTTTATTTTTTTTAAAGAATAATAGTTTTATTCAGCCAGAATGCATTAAATGTTTTATAACTGTAATTACATTATAATAAACATTCATAATGTTACAAAGGATTCCTATTTTAAATAAATGCTGTTCTTTTGAACTTTTTATTCGTCTAGAATCCTGAAAAAGTTTACTCGAAAATATTAAACAGCACAACTGTTTTCAGCATTGATAAGCATTTCTTGAGCAGCAAATCAGCATATTAAAATAATTTCTGAAGGATCATGTAACACTGAAGAGTGGAGTAATGATGCTGAAAATTCAGCTTTGCCATCACAGGAATAAATTACATTTTAATCGTTATTTGAAATTGAAATATTTTGCGATTTTATTGTTTTACTAATTTTTTTTGCATTGTATATTAAGTTAAAAGGGAAATTATATATTGTGCCTTGCAAAAGAATTGTCATTGTTAAAGTAATTATTTATGAATGGTTTAATGTTTTCCTCCTTTTCCCTACGCCACAGTTTTGTAGTATTTTTCATTGTATAATGTTGGTGTCTTGCACCAAAACCATTCATAATTAATGAGGTAATTTAAATTATAATTTTCTTTGACTGTTAGACTTAAATTGGCTGTAAGTCTTTTGTAAATGACTTCTGTGATGTTATAGCCAAAGCATCTTTGAATGATTCTTTCTGATTATCATTCCTTCAGCACAAAGAAAAGACTGTCGGCTCACCAGAGAGCAGGAGAGCCGTCTCCCTACTCACTGGCTGAAAAGCAAGGGTGCTCACACTACAATGGCAGACGCATTGTGGAGACTCCGAGACCTGATGATGAAAGACACGCTCAACATCCGGCAGGCATACAACCTTTAAACATTTATGTTCTACCCTAACTCTCAGGACTCTAATTTATGCAAGACTATTCTCCTACCAAATCTTTCCTATCATGACTCAAGATGTGATAAAGTATTATGTACTGTCAGAAATGTTTCAGCAATAAGTATATCTCCTAGTTGTGTGCATATGTGTGAAAAAATAAAGCTTTTAGCCACCTCTTTAGGTACGTATGATGCACTGGAATGAAGTCACTCATGAAGCAATTTAGAACTACTGAAATGGATTTGAAATGTGTCGCTTTGACTGTTACTTTAGATGAATTCTGGTTGAGTTTATGGTGTTTTTATATTGCTGAATACATCACCTCAAACAATTGCATCACTAATTCTCAAAGTTCTCTGGCTATGACCACTATACTGAGGCTTCAAATGGGCAAACGTTGTAAAAGATCACAGTAGCATTTTATAAATATAATTTCTTTTTATACTGAGGAAAAATAAGCTGAGTTCCTCTTTATTTTACTGATAATGTAATTTGTTATTTTTTCATTGTGTACATATGAAAAAGCCTGTGATAAATGCTTTGTTCTGCTATGCTTATTGAACACTGTTGCATTAAAAATGAAAAAAGTGGATAATTTCACCAATAAACAGCATTTTAAAAGGATAATGTACTTCAAGCATGTCCAAAACATGTTTGTGAGAAGATTGAGTTACAGCCCCTCCACCCACCACCAATAACACAAGGCCCGCCTCACTAAACCACAAATCTAACTGGGCAGATGCAGATTATGTTTAAATACAAGTAATTAAATAGCCGAATGGTAATTTAAATTAGAAAAAGTTATTTAAAAAAAAAAACACCTCTTATAATTTTAACCCCACAAATAACTGGCGTGATGTCATTTCCTGGCAGGGGCGGAAAAATATCGGGCTATTCTCTTTAGTGTTTGCCCTGTCTACACTCACCCTCTCTACCTCTTCCCCGTTTTTTCATACTAAACCAGTCCAGAACCCCTTAAAATAAGACGAAACCGAACTGACACTACGCTATAACATCGTAACTCATGGAGTAAATCACAACTGGGGAGAAATAAACTGAGGTGAGCTTTATTCAGCAGGAGCCTGCTGAGATGCGCGAGCTGCTAGTGTGTTAGCTCGAGCCATTCATATCAATGGATCTACTCGCATATTGTCATAGCTGCTTTTCACTGAAATCCACATAGAATATTATGTAAACGGCTGATTTGCTTATGTAATGTTTGGTATAAATGTGTTTAGTGGGTGTTTGTGTATCGCTGGCTTCGATACTTTGCTTTGCAGTGGTAGGAGGAGTCTTGACAGCTGATATTTATTTTCACCAGTTTAATGCGGTAGTTAAAAAAAAAATCAAATGTGTTAAAATTCAGTAGACTTTGCATAGTGAAGTGTATCAGGAGAGTGTATTGTACATACTAATTATATTTAAGCTGTGCTAATATCAAATATCTGAAATATCAGTTTAATCTAAGTGACTGCCTGACTGTACAATGTTAATGGATGTTTTAACCCCTAAGTTACTGTTATTGTCAACTTTTTTGCATGGGTGATGTCTTTTGTTCTTGTTATTGAGTAGACTTCCCGGAATTGTCAACCAATAAGAGCTCCTTGCCATGTTACTGTAAAATGCTATGCTCAAAACTTTGCTGAAAAAACCCTGTTCCATAGGCCTAGCCTTCTACATGCATTTTGCCCTCTGATTGATAGTCCATAGTTTTTATTAAGTAAAAAGCCTTTAGTATAAGTCTAAAAATGCCCACCCTCAGGTCGTAGTACGTGTAGTCCTTTAATGGTTTTTACGGAGTAAATGTCAGAATAACTTTTATATTTTGTTTGTAATATTTAAAATTGAACATTTACTGGACTAAAGCAACTTCATGTTAAAATGTAAGTACCAAATATGATATAACAGGCTATCAGAGACATTTATTTGTATGTCAATCATCATTGTATTGCCTGGCATTATAGGTTTTTCCACCAAAATCTAAGGGTTTAGGCTAAATGTCTTCTTAATAAGACATGGTATTGGGAGATAGAGTGACAACTATGTGTATATGCATTTTATGTAAGTAGTTTGTTATAAAAAATCTCTGTAATAAAAATGTATTTAAACTATAGCCTATTAGTTTCATATTACTTTTTGGTCATATTTTTGCTCCTCCAAACAATTCTGGGGTGTTTTTTTCTCTCTCCCTGAGTATGAGTTCCATATTCACCATATGAGCCTTAAAGACCTCATGTATTAAATTAATATGATACAAAACATAAAACACATGCAAACTTTTTAAAATATTTTTTTGTCTAAAGGTTCAATAAACTATTAGATCATTCTTAAATCCTTCTTTAAAAATTTCTGATAATAATTCAATTGAACTTAACTTGGACTCTTTTAAAACTTTTATAGATCATAACTACGTTTAAATCTGTTTACGCTGTTGGAACACCAATCGCCATTCAAAATCTTGACAACAGTTATGGCATCACTGGAATATTAAAATTAGTCTTATTTACTTTTAAACAAAACGGTATTACATCAAAAGTGCTTTGAAGTAAACAAGAACGATTAATTCACTTAACAAATTGTTCAAAAAACTGATTTGTTCACAGATTTTTCACTACTACTGTAGATGTCAAGACAGTATTGTGCTGTGATGTGTATACGTAAAGATGCAGCTTTTCATTTACTTTGTCAAATCCTAAAATCTAAGCTTACCAAATACGTTATTAACATTAGCCTACTTTTTTGCTTTAGCACTAATATTTCATTTTTTTGGAAATGCAAATGTAGATTGATCTTTTGGTTGATTACGCATTACATGTCTATGATAACGAATCTTGATCCTTTTCATTTTTCCACTCTGCAGGTAGAGCTTTGCAGTCTTCCTTCTTTCTACAAACCCACTCATCTCGTTCTCTCTCTTTCACATACAACCCTTCTTTAATAAAGTTCTCTTCCTACCTGACTGCAAAGTCTATACCTGGTCATTCAATCAACCCATCTTCCTACCAGCCAATCAGAATGTCACAGCTTCAGTTCCAGACGCCCGTCAACACTGCACCTAGTGCCGCCCCTTTACAGCTGGCCCCGCCCCAACCTGGGTTCAGCATTCCCTGTTCCACTGCTCCCTTACCCTCAGAGAGTGCCAGTCACCCGTTGCGAAACTCCGCCCTGCCTTCTGCATCCGCCACGCCCTTCTGCAACCCCACAGGTTGGTGAGAAAGTGCTTTGTGTGTTTTTAAACAAAAGGCATCCCCATGAGATCAAAATGTAAGCTTTTTTTAATTAATATGTTAGCCTTACTGTTATTGCTCCAAAACAATGACAAAATTTGCATTTAGTAGATATAAGCATTCAAAACTTAGTCTCTCATTTCCTCCAATATGGATCAATGATTTTGATTACATCACTCTGCACTTCAGCTTCTCGTCAGATTTCCTGTCCAAGCAAATGCTCTCTAGAATCTACATTGTCCCGCCCCCAAATATACGCTGAATCTGGGGCTAAAATCAGTCACTTATTTACACATTTACTATTTTCTACACTATAGGGCCTATATCGGATAGGGAACGATTCAGACAATGTAAATATGCTTTCCATTGAGGTGAATGAAGTCCGGTTTCACGTTAGTGTCACGTGAACCGCCGCAGCTCGCACAGTCTGCTCTGCTCCAGAGACACGATATCATACCAGAAACTTACGGACCCATTTGAATTCTGCACAGAATTCTATATTTTAAAGCTATATGGAGGATAGGAGAAATGGTTAGAGATTAGAAGGAAACTTCGGCTTTGCCGAGCTCAATGGCTCTGGCCCAGCTGTGATATGAAACGCTATTGGTTATTTTTAAAAAGGGGCAGAGCTGTTCAATATGTCCCATCTTGTCTTCCTGTTTCAGAGAAAATTACATCAACACATTGAATAATGCTGCGTGTTTCAAGGCACTTCAGTGGGCCTTTAACTGTTAGGACTCGAAAACTTGAACATTTGAATTCTTCAGCTATGCCCAGGACCACATGGGAATCTCAAAAGTTTTTGTAAAGATTACTTTTAATAACATATTTCGCATCCACAACAATGGTTTGAAACTGTCTATTTAAACCTGTTGAAAAACTACAGTTCAAAAGTTTGGGGTCGGTATGGTTATTAAAATAAATTAATAATAATTTAATACTTTTATTCAGCTAGGATGCATACAATTGATCAAATGTGAAAGTAGAATGGTCCCCGGAGGTCGAGGCCGAAGCTGCCACAACCTGAATTGATTGAAAGTTGATTCAGGTTAACCAGTGGCCCGGTTCTCTGGAGGGCGGGGTTGGCTGGGACAATAACCCCCGTGCTTAAGAATGGGCCCCCCGGGTTCGCCTGGTGAAAAGGTGTAACATTTATAATGTTACAAAAAAATTCTGTTTTAAAATAAATGCGGCTCTTTAAAACTTTTACTATTAACCCAAAATATTATGCAGCACAACTGTTTTTTAGCATTGATAATAAGAAATGTTTCTTGAGCACCAAATCAGTATATTAGAATGATTTCTGAATTTCTGGAAATTCAGCTTTGCCATCACAGGAATAAATTACATTTTAAAATATACTAATATAGTAAACGGTTATTTTAAATGTTAATATTTCAAATATTACTGTTTTTATTCTGTTTTTGAAACCTAAAAGTATTTCTTTTAGAAACATTAAAACATCTTTCCACCGACCCCAAACTTATGAACAGTCGTGTATTTTTCAGGCTTTTTTAATGCACATGCAAAAACATCAGTACATGGTTTTGGCCTGATAACAATATTATTTTCTTGGATTGGTTGAGTTTTAAAATGTTTTCTTTTTGATTTATTGATTTAGTATCTAACATGGCAAACCCTAAAGAGAAGACCCCAATGTGCTTGATAAACGAGTTAGCCCGTTACAATAAGATCCAACCTGAATACAAGCTACTCAGTGAACAAGGACCAGCCCACTCCAAGGTAAGACTTGGCACTTTACTTAACTATATACACACACAAAACTATCTCTTCCCACCTGTCTGAACTTTCTGATGATGTCTGTTGGTCAGATTTTCTCAGTGCGGTTATCTCTGGGGGATCAGCACTGGGATGCAGAGGGGACCAGTATCAAAAAAGCCCAGCACTCAGCAGCATCATGTGCCCTTGCCGAAACTACTCTCCCCAAACCCAGTCACAGAAGCCCCCGCCACCCTGGCAAGAACCCAGATGGGATCTACAAGGGCTCAGATTGTACGTCCAATATTTTTTCTTTATCTTCTCAAAAGGACTAGTACGGAGCCCTGCACATGACATGCATTCAAAGATATGTATATATATTGTGGCCACGAATTAAGAACTCGTTTAAGTAAGTTGTGTGCACAATATAATAATTAATTCCCTCATTTTAAAGGGATAGTTCACCCAAATATAAAAATTCTGTCATTAATTACTCACCCTCATGTTGTTTCAAACCCATAAGTCTTTCGTTTATCTTCGGAGATCTTTTTGATGAAAACTGAGAGCTTTCTGTCCCTCCATTGACAGCTACACAACTACCACTTTCACTCTTCAGTTCATAAAGGGATCATAAAACTTATCCATATTAATTGAGCGGTTTAGTCCAAATTTTCTGAAGAGACACAATTGCTTTATATGATGAACAGATTTAATTTAGGCTTCTATTCACATAAACATTCATCAACTCACACATCAGTTGTGGTAAACGGAAGCTCAAACATGTTCGCTTGACGTGTGAGAACCAATGAGGTTCATTCTCGTGTTACGCAGCACGTTTGAGCTTCAGCAAGAACCAATGAGGATCATTCTCGTGTTACGCAGCACGTTTGAGCTTCAGCAAGAACCAATGAGGATCATTCTCGTGTTACGCAGCACGTTTGAGCTTCAGCAAGAACCAATGAGGTTCATTCTCGTGTTACGCAGCACGTTTGAGCTTCAGCAAGAACCAATGAGGATCATTCTCGTGTTACGCAGCACGTTTGAGCTTCAGCAAGAACCAATGAGGATCATTCTCGTGTTACGCAGCACGTTTGAGCTTCAGCAAGAACCAATGAGGTTTGTTCTCGCGCGTCAAGCAGGTTCGATTGAGTTTATGTTCGCTAATCAATATAAAGCGATCGAGTCTCTTCATAAAATTTGGACTAAACCAGTCAATTCATATAGATTAGTTTTACAAACTTTTTGAAGCGTTGAAGTAGTTGTTGCGTAGCTGTCAATTGAGGGACAGAAAGCTCTCCGATTTCATTAAAAAGATCTTCATTTGTGTTTCAAAGATGAACGAAAGTTTCATGGGTTTGGAACAACACGAGGGTGAGTAATTAATGACAGAACTAACCCTTTAAGTAAATCGTGCGAATGATATAATTTGTTTCCTCGTTTTAAGTAAATCGTGCGCATTATGTAATAATTTATCCCCTCAATTTAGTAAATTGTGGCCACGTTGTACTAATTCGTTCCCTCATTTTGATTAAACTAAAACAAGGGAATTAACTATGACCTCAAATTCGTAAAACAGGGGAAGGAATTATTATATTGTGCACATGATTTAGTAAAACGAGAGAATTAATTAATATCATGCGCACACTTTACTTAAAACGAGGCAACGAATTGGTAAAAGGTGCTGAGTCTGACGCATTAGTCAAGTGTGGTAATTAATTGTTAATTTGTGGCCACGATATACATATTTTTTTCCTGCATGTCATGTGCAGGGCTCCCTAGAGTATCACCCAAAAGTGAAAATTCTCTCATCTTCACATTGCCGAAACCTGCATGAATTGGGCTGTCGAGCTCCAAAAAGGCAAACAGTATCGTAAAAGAAGTCCATATGACTTGCTTTGCTTTAGCCAGCTCTGTATTCTGCAGAGTTTAGCTCCAACCCTAATCAAACACACCTGAACCATCTAACCAATTCAGGATTACTTGAAAATTACTGGCAGGTGTGTTGGAGCAGGGCTCTCGAGGAGAAGGGTTTGCTACATCTGCTTTAGAGACTTCAAATGTACAGTCACATGAACTATTTGCATACATGGTGAGTAGATGATCTTTGATTTTTGGGTGAACTATTTCTTTAAAATTCCAAATAAATGTCCACTTTGTTTCCACTTATTTTAACCTTGAATATATCTGTTGGAGTTAATCTGTCTTTGAATTTAATGTAAGTTTATTGTAGTTTTATTCAGCCAGGATGCATTAAATGGATCAAAAGTGACAGTAAAGATATTTAAAATGTTACAAAAGATTTCTGTTTCAAATAAATGCTGTCCTTCTTTTTCCAGGATTCTTTGATGAATATAAAGTAGCACTATTTTTAACACTGATAATAATAAGAAATGTTTCTTAAGCACCAAATCATCATATTATAATGGTTTCTGAAGGATCATGGTAATGGCTGCTGAAAATTCCCAGGACAAATTACATTATTTTTTATATATATATATATATATTATCCCAAATTACAGTTCAAATGCTTGGGATCAGTAGGGATTTTTTTTTAATTGATCAAAAGTGACGGTAAAGACATTTGTAAGGTTACAAAAGATTTCTATTACACATAAATGCTTTTATTCTTAACTTATTATTCACCAAAACATATTAAGCAGCACTACTGTTTTCAACTTTGATAATAATAAGAAATGTTTCTGCCATTAAATCAGCATATTAGAATCATTATTGTAATGCTCATGTACAGGCTGCTGGAAATTCAGCCTTGCCATCAGAGGAAAAATGACATTTTAAAATTGTAAAAATATTTCACAATATTGCTGCTTTCACGGTAATAGATTAAACCCCATGTAGGTTGAACCCCATGAATGTTAGCAGTGCAAGCAACTGTTTGACATGCATCTTTCTCATGCAGATAACATAACCCACACTGTGGAGCTTAATGCACTTTGTATGAAGTTGGGCAAGAAGCCCATCTATAAGCCTATAGATGCCTACCATGGGATGAGACCAGCATTCAACTACAACATCAGAGCACCTGGCCCTTATGCACGCTCCATGCAGCAGTATGCACTCTCTATTTTAATCTTTTGCTTTGCTTATTGAATGATGTAAAATAGAAATGTTGGCTAAGATAGCCAGTTATTTAATCTAATGTTTTGGCAGAAAAACATAATATTATACTATTTCCCTTTTCTTCTCTTGATCAGTTATTACTACCCATTTCCTCCTGTGGGACCAGTACTGTATCATATGGAGCTGTCTATCGGTGGACAACAGTTCCATGGCAAGGGCCGCACGCGTCAAGCAGCCAAACATGATGCTGCGGCCAAAGCTATCAAATACCTGCAGAAAGAGCCAATAATGCAGCAACTGTCTGAGGTGAGTTCATATTTATAACATGATGAATTGGCTGTCAGTAATGCCGGGTACACACTACATGATTTTTAAGCCCTGATTTTCACTCGCCGACAGTTTTGTGGAGATCGCCGACGTATGCCCAAAATCAGAGGCAAATCTTGACAGTCATGTAGTTTGTATGATCAAAGACACGTACCCGCTGATGCCTGTGAGATATTTAGCATGCTAAATGTCTGGACTTGTCTGCAACTCAGTCACGCAGTGTGAAATGTGTTTTGACTGGAAATTACATTGGTGATGACCTACAGCCAATGAGAGAGCAAGATTCAAGGAGTCATAAACCTGCAACAAAAAAATCAGCATGCATGGCTTCTTTCCTTCATATTCTTCTTCTTTTTTTCACTGTAAATTGGTGCACAGACAACTTGGGTCACATGCTTCTTACATGCATCATTTTAACAAGAAGTCTCATGCATGATCTTACTACATTTATTTCCTGTATAATTTCTGGCGTTTGTTTGGGAGCGGAACGTAGTTTGTAGACCAGACGGAGCTGTCGGCAATTCTTCCTATTGAATTGTTGTGTAACATGTGACCCCCTGTCGCCAATCCGTCATGTAATGTGCACACAACAACAACTAAATGGTATTTCAGACAGTCGTGTAGTGCGAGAAGAACAACGATCCAACAATTTTGAAAATCGTGCTGTGTGTACCAAGCATTAGTCATTCTTTAAAAAGGGCTGCTTTCAATTCTTGAACCTAGTAAATACAAGCAAAATGCAATTATCTGATCTATTTAGTTGAATTGTGAATAACAACAATCCCTGTCATGTAGATGAAAGAAGAGCCAATACAAGAAAACCTTAACAAATCTGAGATCAGCCAAGTGTTTGAGATTGCACTGAAGCGCAACTTGCCTGTGAATTTCGAGGTATGTCACGATCCCGTCATGCATAGGCTACAAATATACAAAAAATACTTTCATGCACATTAGAGTTGAGCAAAATCTTGCATATCTCTTATGTCCAAACCACAAATTGTTCACTTTTCTTTAATTCTCCTCACTGTATACAGGTGCTAAAAGAGGCTGGTCCTCCTCACATGAAGAGCTTCATGGTGAGGGTTACTGTGGGCGAGTATTCAGGGGAGGGGGATGGCAAAAGCAAGAAGATCGCCAAGAAGCTAGCTGCCATGGCTGTGCTGGAGGAGCTTCGTGGACTGCCTCAACTGCCTGTCACAGACAAAATACCACTACGCATTAAAAAGAAAAGCAAGTCCATTATTAAGGTAGATGAGGACTTATACTTGGATGGGTTCATTTGATGGCTAGAGTGCTTTTCTATGAGTTATTGATTTGTAATAGTTTGGCCTATTGAAATGTTAAACATTAATGTAATTATTAAAGTACCAAGTTAGAGTGTTCTTTCTAGTTAAAGACCAGTACATCAGCCTAGGAAGTTAACAATCTTTTTTTATTGATTATATTTAATTCAGATAGTGTTTATTTGGCCAATAACTGCATGTGCCTGATTAGCTAAAGTGGTTTCAAAATTTACCAACTGCCTTAATGTATAAATCTTTGTATTCATATATTCTTTAGTGATTTTGTTATTCTACTGTTGAAAAGTTTGGGGTCAGTAAGATTTTTTAAATGTTTTTGAAAGAAGTCTCTTTTGCTCACCAAGGCTGCATTCATTTAAAGATACAGTAAACCTCTATTTTGATGAATATTTTGAAATATTACAATTTAAAATAATTTCTCTATTTGGAATTTATTCCTTTCAGCATCATTACTCCAGTCTTCAGTGTCTAATGATCCTTCAGAAATAATTCTAATATGCTGATTTGGTGCTCAAGTAACATTTCTTCTTATTATCAATGTTGAAAACAGTTATGCTGCTTAATATTTTTGTACAGATCGTGATATTTTTTTTCAGGGTTCTTAGTGTAGCTGAAATATCCCTAACCTAATTGATATTGTCTCAAATCAGGAAACGAGTGACGATACCAATGCAGACACTGGCTGTTATTTTTTGCTATGTGCTTTTTCAGGCCGTTCATTGAATGAATTAAATTATTGCCCCTTTCATCATATTCTCATTTATCTAAATGTATTGATCAAGTGTGTCAATATGTATCTCTTTCTTAATGAATCTTGCACCCGCTCTCAGCTGCAGACCAGTCCAGAGTATGGTCAGGGCATGAACCCCATCAGCAGACTGGCTCAAATCCAGCAGGCTAAGAAAGAAAAAGAGCCAGAGTACGCGTTGGTGACGGAGAGAGGTCTGCCTCGACGCCGGGAGTTTGTCATGCAGGTACTCCATCAGAGTGAAGGTTCTGTTCTCTGACTCCGCATTTTTATAATAGTTCAGTGCACATTTTTTGTGAAGGCCATGTTCTTCTGGCCATCATTTTTATATATAACCTGCAAAAGTGCTTCTTGTCAGAAATGTTCCCGGAAAAGTGATGTGCCCCTGTATCGCTTTCTCCTTTTTCTCTCATACCGAGTTACTCTGTATGGAGATGGTTTCTTAAAATGTTCATGCATTGTATACCCTGAAGAAGGCTCTTAAGCTGAAATGCGTTTTTTATTTTTTATTAAAGTTACCCTTACCACTAGTGTTGCTGGATTCCCTTTTTGTACTTTTTATGTTGTCTGCTTTCATACACCTTGTGAGCTGATAAAGTCGCCCCAGATCTAATCTTACAATTACTTGATGTATTTTTCTCTCGCTCAGGTGTCAATTGCAGGTCAGAATGCAGAGGGAATGGGTCCTAGTAAAAAAGTGGCCAAACGAAATGCAGCCGAGAAGATGCTGGAGCTTCTGGGCTTCAAAGTGCCTCAGCCACAACCACACAAACCGGCATTGAAAACAGATGAGAAAGTGAGCGTCTGCTTATTAGCAGCATTTACTTTGCATCAAAAACATGGTGAAAGTAGTTTCAGGGGTTTTCAAACTGTGGTCCTGTGCCGGAAGGGACTGAAAAGAGGGTTTGAGAGAGTAAAAAAAAAAGTTCATTTGATGATGATGAATGATAAATGAATGATGTTCATTTAAAAAATATATATTTTTACGGCTGTCAAAGTTAAGATGTCTACTTGTATATTAATGCAACATGTTTAATGTAATGGTTTATTTTTTATTACATTCCCCAAAGTTTACATTTACTATTTCATTCTTTGTAAATACTGGTCAGAAATTATTATTTATTTAAACAACAATATAAAACCCAAGTATTTAATTTGGAAAATAATAATTTACGTTTGTCTTTATAATGTGACGCCTAATAATTTTATCACCCAGCTGAAATTTTTGAATACAGGGAAAATTATTGCTGCTATATGGAAAGGGGTCATCATCATATTTAGGTCTCTTGGCATCAAAAAGTTTGACAACCCCTGAATTTATCCAGAAAATGATTATTATGATTTACTCATTTTCATCTTGTTCCAATTCTGCATAGCTTTCTGTCCACCATGGATCATAAACAGAAACATATGAGTGTCAACTAAAAGTGTTAGTGTAAAAAGTTAAAGAGTACTTTTTTTTCATTTATCTTTATAAAGGCACCTGCTAAGAAACCTGGAGATGGACGAAAAGTGACCTTCTTTGAACCGGGATCTGTGGACAAGGCTGGTCTTGGTATGTGTTGTCCAGTCTTTTGTCATATTCAGCTGCTATCATCAATATAGATGTGGTCATATCATATGTACATGGTCCTTGTATCATTGTTCATTTTAGTGAATATTATTGCTTGCGATTGACACTTGCGTTTCTCAAAGCAGTCAACAAAGAGGAAGATTTCCGATTTCCTTATCTCAGCCATCAGCAGCTTCCTGCTGGCATTTTACCCATGGTGCCTGAGGTGGCACAGGCGGTGGGTGCCAACCAGGGACCCCATGCAAAAGACTACGGTCGTACAGCTGCCCCCAACCCAGCCATGGCCACAGTAACGGCCATGATTGCCAATGAGCTGCTGTACGCTGGCACGTCCCCGACCGCGGAAGGTATACTAAAGACCAAAAACAGTTTGACACACAGACCCCATGGACCCCTTACCAGACCATCCGAACAGCTCAGCTACCTGGCCACTGTACAGGGATTACAGGTATTGAATATAATGATAGCACACTTATCCTCCCCAATGATCCTCGCTCAACCAATCTATTTTTTTTTTTTTTGTCACAGGTTGAATATAAAGACTTTCCCAAAAATAACAAGAATGAGTTTGTGTCTCTGATCAACTGCTCCTCTCAGCCTCCTCTCATCAGCCACGGCATTGGCAAGGATGTGGAGTCCTGCCATGACATGGTAAATCTTTTTTATTTTTTTTATTAATTAATACATTCAGCAAGGAGACATTACACTGATCAAAAGTGGAAGTTAAGGGTACGTTAACGCAACAATGATGTACTTTTTCGGCTACAGACGACAACATTGTCAAAGCGATCCCTGTTTCAAACGGACCCGCGACAAAAGACTAAAAACGCTGTATAGACCAATTTTCAGTTGGTAAACATGGTGACGTTTTTATGTGGGCGGAGCTTAGGTGGTGGCAGAACGATCCCTCTGGCCGCTTCACTAACGTAAAGTCTGCAAGTTTTGTTAGCTTGTTTTTAACAATGACTGGAGAAAATCCGATTTTATCTTAATGTGCAAGGCCACTCACTGTCCAGGACCGCGATTGTTATTTGCAAAAGTTAATTTTAACGGACAGAACCAGATTGGCCGACCCGTACTGTAGCCTACACGCTGGACGATCTGACAGGATTAACGTTAACGCTACCTCCGGTTGAGTGTCCTGACTTCTACACCTACCTGATAGAGAAACGGAGGGCATATAAATCTTTAGATGCCTATAACTATGTGCTGAATGGTCATGTACAAGTTGTGTGGTACGATCCGCAGTTCTGCCTAGCCAGCACCATGAAGACGACAATGTAAAGAGTGACATTATTACGGTGCAATTTTAATGAGGTGAATATTTTCTAGAAATAAAAAGTTGCAGATAAAGCATATTAATTTTTCATTGATTCTTGCACCCAACAACACAACAAGATGACATTTAATAATAAGAAGAATAATTTAAGATCCTTATTTTGTAGCCGAATCTGTGCTGGTTTGTATTTGCCGCCTCCAGTTTTCCCTTTGTTCTGCCACCAGCTAGCGCCGTGACGCAACTGTGACGTCGGCTGGAAATTGGTCTATTATGCTGCCAGACCAGTAGTTAGCGATGTCACTTTGTAAAGAAACAATGCGCACCTATAGACTGAACACATAATACGCATGCGCATTACAACACCATTTTCACAAATTCGCTTTTTTGTAGTTTACATGGAGACGATTAACGGTATTGTTTTCAAAAACATGCACTTTGAAACCCCGTTTTCAAAAGTTTGCGTTTTCAGGCCCTCAAAATGCTGTTGTCGTGTAAATGAACGACCAAAACGCTTGAAAAGTTTTTAGTTGTAAACTGTTTGGCCCCTTAGACACATGGTGGCAAATTTACTAAACAGGGCAAATTAGCGTAAGCGCCATTCCAAAAAAGCACAGATGGGGGTGGAAAGTTCTGCCCGTGATCGACTGACAATGCGCACATTAAAGAACACAGATGTAGCTAGATCATTTCCATAAGGACCAACGCAATCTACCAAGAGCTTGGTAATCGATATGTTCGGATGACATCTTCTGGCATTCCAAATAAATTAACACGAGTGGAGAAAATTCTCCACCCTCTACCACACACTCTCTCTGTTCTCTGCAATACGTCTCCAACTATCGTAGCCATGTCAAGCCTAAAATAGGTTAAGACATGCTTTTTTGGGCATTAAATAATTGCACAATTACTAGTAAATTGCCTACTGCAAACATTAATAAATCATGCTGCATGGTTCATTTAAATCTGCTCCCATAAATTTTGCATCTGAAAGTAAAAAGTCTTACAAGGTCAGCCACAAAAATAACTGTCCACACTTATTTTATCTTTGGTAAATAAAATGGCAAAAAAGGATTTGCGCTAGGTCTGACCCTAATAATAATGTTGCAAAATATTTCTATTTGCAATAAATGTTCTTTTGTACTTTCTATTCATTGAAGAATCCTGAAACAAAAAAATGTATTACGATTTCCACATAAATATTAAGCAGCACAACTGTTTTTAACATTGATAATAATAAGAAATGCTACTTGGGCACCAAATTATCATATTAAATTTACTTCTAACGGATCATGTAACATTGAAAACTGGAGTAATGGCTGCTGAAAACTCCGCTTTGCCATCACAGGAAAAATTCAATTTTAAAACATTAAAATATATAAACCGTTTCACAATATTTCACAATATTACTATTTTTAACCGTATTTTTGATCAAATAAATGCAGCCTTGGTGAGCATCAAATAATACTTTCCAAACCATTTAAAAGTCTTTTTTTATCTTGGTAGTGTACTTTAAAGATTACTGTGGAAGATCTATCTCTACTTGTATCTTGCTTACTGCAATGCCTCTCTCTCTCCGGACAGGCTGCTTTGAACATCCTGAAGCTCCTGTCAGAACTCGACCAGCAGTCCAATGAGCGCACAGCTAATGGACCAATGTCAGGGTCAGTATTGTATGGTCTTATTTATTTTACATGAACATGAACTAGTTGTATTAATATTGGCATGCATTTACAGTAATGTTCTTTGTAGATGCCTTCCAGAGTGATTTGAACACATTTTTTTTAAATTCTTCTCACCCGTCTCCCCCTCCACAGGTGCAACAAACAGGACCTAGAGGGCAGTGCATTATTAAAACCGGCTAACTCAAGCACCATCGGAAAGACTCTGGATGGCACAGTGTAGAATTGACTATTTGATTGGTTGTTTTATTTGCGAAACACTAGAGTCAGAACCAGAAGTCAGAACCAGAGTTTTGATTGGCTGTTCAAAAAGGCCTTTGAGTAATTCTGAATTTATCTTGGATTTAAATTAATTTAAAGTATTCAAAACTTGCAGATGAACAAGATTGAGAGATGTTGATGTTTAATGTGCACATGCGGTGATACATTTTTAAACGCTAAGGCTTTGGAGAAGTCGCCTCATCATATCCAGTGAAGTGGTGGTTTTGTTTTTGTTGTTAAATTGTACAATGGTTATTGTGAAGTTTGACCATTAGATTGGCTTTTCTTCATTGTTCCAAGGAAGTCATGTATTCAGTGTCATAATTGTATTTTATTTCCTCGCTTTTTTTTTCTTTTTTTCTTTTTTAACGTTGTATTATAGGAACCCATCGAGTTGGGTTGTATTAGCGCTGTTGTGAAGTGCAGTCTAAAACCCCGTTGAAGGATATGATGAAGCTTTCAAACACGTCTCTGCTGTGGCGGTTTTTCTTCAGTGCTTTTTGAGTTACAATGAAGACCATAACACTCAAAAAAGAATTCATCTACATTTTTATGTAGGTCTGGGAAAATGTTATTGTGACATCAGTGTAGAGCGTGTGGTGGTGTTTTTTGTTTTGTGTGTGTGTGTGTGTGTGTGAATGAGTGAATGTATGTATGTATAAAGCACGATATTGTTCAGTCATGTCAGTTAAACTGATGCATTCTCCTATCAGTGTTGACCCCACCCACTCTCTGCCAGTTGCATCCTGTTTTCCTCATGGAATATGAGTAAAAATGATGTGCCTCTTGCACAAAAAAACTGTGTGTGTGTTCTGTAAATGCTACAATAGGGGATCTCATGGTCATGGAATACCTGTAAAAATAAGGGAATTTTTAAATCTAGATTTAAAGGCCTAAAAAGGTCTCTGAAGAATAACTAGAAAAGCCTTTTTTTTTTTTTTTTAAGAATCTGTTTATTTAACTTTGAGTACAATTTCTGTTAAATGGTGTAAAAAAAGAAAAAGATGTGATGTACAAATGTGTGGGCATTCTATATAAATGGGGCCAAGAGTGAGCAGTGTTGGGGAAAGTTACTTTTAAAAGTAATGTATTACGATATTGTTACTTCCTAAAAAAGTAACTGTTACTTTTAATGGAAAGTAATGTTATATTATTTTTCTCACCTAGGCTAGGTTTGCTAGCTTGATTTTATCAACAAAAAAACAAAGTTCTCCCTTAAAGTTAAATGAACAAGCCTCTGGCAGAAGGCAATGCAAATTCACCCCTGTACAGTAGAGGGCGCATCTTAGACAAACCTTTCAGCTATGCTGCCATTCTGGATTGCAGAAAAATAGGACACAGAAGGAAGTTCAACAACACTCTTACTTGAGAAATAAAAAACAAAACAAAAATTAAACCCATGTGATGTTTAACTAAAGTCATTTTTGCTTATTAGTATAGTTGAATTGGATCAGCGAAGGCAATAAGGTGAGATTAAATAAAGTATATTTGGGTAATTTAACATTTAATTATTGCAGGTTTGCGTAATATTCTGTTTGCATCTCACTGTTTTTATTCATTTTTAGGAACACTGAATCTGTTTTTGAGCAAGTGAGAAAAGTAAATGCATGATCACATTTAGTCTAGAACTATAATAACTGACATGTTCACACAGCGCACACAACACCTCTGCACTTACTCATGATTTCTCTCAACACGGGGGCAGGAGAGGTGTCAGTCAATAAATGGGAAAAAAAGGTACATTTTTTCAAATAAGTAACATGTCACATTATTTTAAAAAATAAGATTGAAAAATGAATGTTACTTTACTAGTTGAAAAAAGTAATTGATTACAGAACTTGCATTACTTTTAATGCGTTACCCCAAACATTGAGAGTGAGTGTGTGAAAATAATTTTTTTTTTTTCATTAATGTTTTTTTATTTCAAAAAGGGACAGTGTACATTAATCAACATTCCTGAATGTAAATGTACCCAAATTGGCCCAAAGTCTAGTTTTCGTTGGTAGTCCCTTTGCCAAATGTTATCAGGGCTAAAAACTAAAGAAAAGAGAGAGAAAAACAACAACAATAATAATACAACCAGATTTGGAACTTGCGGTTTGTTTTTATGAACAAGTACAACAAGCAATCGTTTTCAATATAATTGGAAGCCACAGGGAAAAAAACACCTGTACACTCTTATTTAAATAGGTATTATGCCCAATGACTTGCTCAGTCCAGTCCCAATCCAGTTCCATAAAAACACATTTCAGATGTGAACCATATCAGTGGTTGTTGAACGGCTCACCCATGAGTGATTAGCCAGCCTGAAAAACAGAACACAGCTAAAGTGGGCCTAGATAACCAGAAGAAACCCATTTCACTTCAAACAGTGACATACCCTCACATCCATAATAATATAAACGAATTCAAAGAATATTGCACACATTATTTGCTGCAGCTGTTCAAAAAAGACCTGTCAAATTTGTAGTGTTCCAGATGTTTAAGCAGCCTTAATTGGGCCGTTGGCTGCTCTTTTCTTCCTCATGGACTCAATGAACGGGTACATGCACTGGTCTGAACCCATAAAGCGATATGTCGCCACATTGGATTCCCATGGAAACAGGCTGCAAAGACAAGATGTCATTCAAGTCAAATGCTGATGTGTAGGGCATCAAGGTTTGCTCTTTTAACAGCAAGAATATACCGGTATGTATGGTGTCATAAAGGAGGCAGAATTATTTAGTGTGATGCAGATGTGAATAGAAATAAGACCAAGCATGCTGATGTTGGTCTGTACTCACGCTCTGGCCAGGAAGGGCAGGTAGGTTAGTCTGGGGATGCACACTAGCGGCTGGTCTATGAGAATGGCATTCATAGCCTGCTGTACGCAGTACAAGGGCTCCAGTGGAGGCAGGATCAGTTCAACCTCTTCCCTGTAGGGGGAGAGAAACGGCAACAGTCGAGTACAAGGGCCATTTATTGTGATTTACACGTTCAGTGCAGTGTACTTGATTTCTGAAGGATCATGTGACATTGAAGACTGGAGTAATGATGCTGAAAATTGAACTTTGTATCATAGAAATATATTAAAACATTTAAATATTCAAATAGAAAACTTATTTAAAAAAAACATTATTTTTTAAATAGTTAAAAATATTACTCTTTTTATTGTATTTTTTAAAATCAAATAAATGCAGCCTTCTTCAGCATTAGGGAACAAATTGAGTGTTTTAACAGTAGAGTATATTATACACTGACCTAATCCTGCAGCCATCAAACATGCCAGTGTCCACAACATAAGGGCACACAAGAGTGGTCTTCACTCCATCCACGTCCTCTTCCGTCAGCAGTTCATGGGCCAGAGACTCATGAAACCCCACCGCGGCAAACTTACTGGCACAGTAATCCTAAAATTCACACATACAGACATCACTAGTTTAATGACATGAAAATTAGGAATAAAGCAAACATTTTTGAAAGTGGGTTTTGAATACTATGAAAAATGAGCCCTTCTCACCTCTACACAGGCTGTGCTGAAGAGTCCAAGTACACTGGCAACAGTGATGATGTGGCCATGATTATTGGCCTTCATCTGAGGGAGGAACGCCTTGACAGTCTACATGCAGACAAACAAAATAAAGCAGTTTGATATAGATATACCCTTAAAGGCATCGTTCACCTTAAAGTGGCCCTATGCGATTTTAAAGGTGTCTCCTACAATAGGTTTACATGCATCCAAGGCCAAACATTTTTTTATTTTCTCATAATACACATTGCAACATCACCCCTTTTCTCACAGTGTCGGAAACAGTAGGATTCAGTCTCTCTAAAACCCTCCTTTCCGAGAGCCTACTCTGCTCTGATTGGTCAAACGGCCCAGTCTGTTGTGATTGGTCTACCACTTACAGCACATGTTGGAAACTAAACGTACATTACCATCTCTGAATTTCAGCTCCGGAGGCTTGCTCACCTCTTAATACACAGTGATACAAACAGTAATGATGGCGCCAGTTATAACATATATTTAAGAGCCAAAGTCCTCATCCTTTGGAAGTGCATGCAAAGTGAATTTGCTTTCATAGCGCAGAAAATAGCGTCTTCTCGACATGTCAGGCCTCAGTTACAACTACAGTGTTTGAGGGCGAGTCAAAGTAGATGTTGTTCGCAAGCAGCCAATGAAGACCATAGGCTGGAATTATGCAAATTTGTTCCAAACTACGTAGGTTTGTACAGGAAGTGTTTACTTACGACTCGTTTCAGGCAGTTCAGAATCGGTTCTTACTTTTGGGAGACAATAATCCTACACTTTAAACTTTGCAGACCTTTCACAAACAGCTATATTACACACACTACATGAAAGGTATAGGCTTATTTCCGAAAAAGCATAATAGGGGCACTTTAAAATGAAACTTCTGTCATTCCTAACTCGCATACTGTACGTTTTTCTGTTGAACACAAACTGAGAATTCTATAAGGATCTTCATGCAGCTCAATGAAAACATCATAAAAGAAAAACACCATAACAGCACAATTAAAGTAGTCCATATTCGCTTTATTCCACGTCTTCTGAAGACATATGATAGCTTTGTGTGAGGAGGAGATTGAAATGTATGTTGTTATTCACTGATAATCCTCCCCACGGGCAAAGTTCTGAAATCTCATTTGGTTTGGTAAGAATTAAGATCTCTCAGACATTCAGTTATATCACAATCAAAAGCATATGAATGAGATTTCAGAGCTTTGGCAGAGGGTATTTGGTTTTGGATTTTGAGAGCCATGATTATTATGAATAGCTGCATGAAGGTTCTTAAAAAAAAAAAAAAAAAAAGTAAATACAATTTTTCCCACAGACAAATAACAACATATGTGTTTGGAACATGGAAGGATGATAAACAAAGACTGAAGTTTTCATTTAATAAATATATAAGCTGTGATCTTACACAGACCAAACTTACTACCATTTTCAAGGCACTAACAAAAAAGTAACACCAAGGATGTTTAGAAATGTACTATGGTAGTGCCATGGTATTCTTTGTACTTGAATAAGGTGATCATTAGCTTAAATGGTAGCGCATTGTGCTAAAATGGAAGTTTTATCCTAACAAATGCTCAAATTGGCTGCTCAACGAACATGATAAAATAAAATGTAGATGCACTGTAAACTGCCTTGGAGTAGTGTGTCTGCCTATTCAATACATCTAAATGCAAAGAACCATAGCATCACCATCACTGGTTGTTACGATGTCTTTTTGGCATCCAGTGCACACATCAGCTCAATGCTAACGTGTAGGCTGCTAAAAGATTGCTCAATGTAAGCATTAATCCACTTCGTATATGGTCACGGTTATTTGCATTAAGAGGATCAGAGTGAGACTTTCGCTTGGGAAGAATATGTTTTATCAGAGAAGGGCTGTAAATAAGGCTAAAGGGGTAAAATCAGGTAATTCCCATATCACGCATTCTATGCATATCAAGTATTACAAAGGCAAAGCAGCTTTATTTACTTCTAATCCATTTATTATTTGTCAAACTTTGGCATGCATGCGCAATGTAATTCAGTATTGTACAAGGTGTTCACGTAGCATTGTACTATAATTCTCAGCTTAGAAGATTCATTAATGTTGAGTCTTTGATTTATTTTATGCTATGCATCTTTATTTCTTCAAAGTCTATTGAGTTTTTTTTGTCACTCATTACATTAACATTTAAGCATATCCAAAGACCTTGAAACCTTGACCTTAGTGTTGTTAGAGCCGTGTTCTACTGTTACAGGAAAATTATAGGCCTATATTATTATTATTGAAAATTAATTATTACAATTATTTGAAACTAAAGTACAAACTTTTTTAAAATGAAGATAAACTTATTTTGGTCACCCCTCCAAGGTTGTCTTCCGGTAATTTTGACTAAGGATTTATCCCCCCAAAAAAGTTATATCATTGTACTACATACTGACTAGCATACAATTTTGCAATTTAAAATGCCATTTTAAAAAGGGGAATTCAAAGGTCATTAAAAAACACACACATTGGGACCAGGAAGATCATTGCAAAAACGGCTAAATAAATCGTTTGAGATCATTTGTTTGAACTTTGAGGGTACCATTTTTTTTATATTTTACTTCAAACTTACAATCTTACCCAGAAGAGGGCATGGCAGTTTACTTTCAGTGTCCTCTCCACCATGGTATCTGGGCAGTCCAGGAGTCTCTCACCGGCCACCACCCCGGCGTTGTTCACCAAGTAGGTCACATCCCTTCCCACATCCTTCCGTACCTGGTCGGCAGTGCGGTACACTTCTTCTCGGTTTGTCACATCCACCGTGTACCCGTGTGCCTGGCCCCCATGCGCCCTCACCATATTGGCTGTCTCCTCATTAGCGTCTCCGTTTATGTCCCATAGCACCACTTCTGCGCCGTGTTTCGAGAACTCCAGGGCGAACAGGCGGCCCAGTGCTCCTCCAGAGCCGGTTATTAATACCAACTCGCCGTCTATGGGCTTCGTACGTGGTCTCAGTACGATGCGCAGACAAGAGCGCAGGATGAAGTACACTATGTCCAGCATCATCATCTGTAAATCCATTAGGAAGATCATAGTGCCCAAGTAGATGTGTGTGATTGTTTGAGGGAGTGAGTGAGACAGCCAAGCTTGTTATTGGACTACCTTTCCCTCAGAGGCTGTTTAAATAGGCCTGATACCGTCCTCAGGATTAGGGGAAAATACCTCAGCCACTAATTAACATGCGCTGTGAGAAAAGGCCTACTTCAAGACGGTGCCCTAAGGGAACACGGTGACGGTGATGGAAAAATATGCAATACTCGCAAAAGTACTGTGTTCCTCTGAGAACATTTGCCGTCGCTTGCAAAATGCAATATCCTACACATCGAGCTGTCAGTGATTATTTCGGTAATCGGCTGATTATTTTGAAGATTATTCAAGTAATCTGTTTTGTTTTTGTTTTGTTTTTTTGTGGTAATAAAATACCAAACCAAAGGCCTTTAAGATGATTTAAAATACGTATAGTAACAATGAGGCATTCATATTTGGTTCAAATAAAGCATCAAAAGCAAGTAATGATATGGTTTCATAGAACAACACTGTTAAAATACATAATATAGGCTAGCCTACATAAAATAAACAATCATCTTATGTTGCCTACATTATGTATTATAACAAATGCCTGCAGCATCAGCATGCAGAGATGGAGTTTAAGACATGCTCCACCTAATGATAGTTCGTGTGGAGCAACATTTACTGTGAATGGAGCCGCTCTGAGATGCCAGTAAATTGCCTGCATGTTAATCGCATTAAACGCACGGGGCATATGCCTTTGTCAATTCACAATAGCACTATGATAGTATTGTTTTTAAATTGTTTTAATACATCGTGTAGCCTTAGAAAACGGTCTAATGTGGTTCATGGATTCTCGTAGGCCTACGTCCCAGACAGCAACATAGTTTCTGCCCAGATCCGGCCCACATCTGGTACACGTGGAATCCACAAGTACCAGATGTGGGCCGGATCTGGGCCGACACTATGTTGCTGTATGGGGTGGAATTCACCAGAGTGTCTGTAGCCTATACTGTAGGCCTACAGTACTGTGTACACAACCATTATAAAATTATATAAAATATAATGAAAATAATCTGATTCTGAATATGTTAAACAGAAGAGTGGCGCTGTTCCACTTCTATAAATCTATAGCAATTGTCATAATGCAAGTTTAGCAATGACTATAGTTTGAATGAACTATAAATCTCAGCATTGGTAATATTGCAATATTACATCAAAACATAAACCTCTAAACACTATGAATACCCACTTTCACGCATATTTATAGTCCCCACTAATCAAAGCAAACTCTGATTTGACCTTAGCTGCAAAGCATGCTGGGTGGGTAACCAGCAGTGCCACAAAATTATTGTTGATAATGTTATTGTTAATGTTGATAATGATAATCTCATACTGTATGCTGAAAAAGCCACTAAAACATAATGGAGCATCATTGAGTTCCCTGAACCACTAAAAACAATCCACTGTGGACATTTGAAAACCACAACTGATATATTAGCCCTAGCTTTCTGTGACTTTGGACAGAAATTTATTTTAGTAACCAACTCTTATTTTATTATTTAAAGTGTGGAATCATATGGGACTATGGAAGTGTTTGTGCCATAAAGAGATTATGTGTGCGTGTTAATCTGTGTTGGTAATGCATATGTAAGGCAATGTAATTCTTGCATGTTTTGAACAGTGGTAGTCTTGTTTAGTTAGGGACAAAGCACTGTAGTCATCCTGAATGGATCAAAGGTCTCCCCCAGGCATTGCAAGCTTTAAATCAACTTAACCTCGCTTTTCAAATTCGCAAATGTCAAATTAGTATTTATTTTAATGATATTTTGCATGGTTAAATCACATTAACATACTTTATACACACAGATACAGTATACCACATAGAAAAAACAGTGTTTTTTTATATGAAAAATTCAAATAATCACATGCCCCCCAAAAAACAGTGATGGGGTAACATTACAAGCAACGTGAGTAACGTAATCAGACAACCAAATACTACTTTTTCAAATAACACAAGCTACTTTGTTGTTCCATTTATTGACTGACACTGTCCCCAATGTTGAGAGAAATCGTGAGACGTTTTTTTTTTTATAGCAGTGACGGAAAAATCTGAAAGCCGTCTGTCATTTTGACAGATACACTGAGGGTGATATCTCGATCTGATTGCAACTTGTAACTGTAATTCTCACCCCTGTCCACTTGGGTGCGAGTGCTCTTTGCTGACCATCAAGTTAGGTAAACAAATGGTTTTTCTGAGTTACATGACATTGTTTACAAGCTGTTTTATTGGTTGAAACACTGATTGAGAGATTACATGAGAGACATGATACAGATTTCGGTAATATTTTCCATATTTTCGGATATTCATTCATGTTTATTTCGTTCTTTAACGTAGTAAAGAAGACTAAAGAGTAAGATCGCGTTCACTTGTGCCTCTTGAACCGAGGCGCGACAGTGATCTCTCGTGCCACATCAAAGAGCGCCAAAACGGTATTTATTGTTTGAATTTTGTGATAAAGTGGACAGAATTTGAAAGCTGAGACTTTGTTTCATATGACAAGTAACAAAGCACAAAGCTTGCGAATATATTGGGCAAACATTCATGATATAACCTGAAAAGTGACCCACAGTCTCTGTTTCAACTTTCCCTCTGTAGGCTACAGTAGCCTACACTGTAAAAAAAATCTGTAGAAATTACAGTATTACTGGCAGCTGGTTGCCAGTAACTTACTGTAGTTTTAAATTGATGTTATTTACTGGCAACAGTTTGTTCAAAGTTAAATGAACATTAAACATTAACAAGTCTTTATCTTTACAGAATAAAACTAAAATAACAGCCTCATGCAAAGCATTCTGGGAACCAAAATCTGAAGGAAAAAAAACAGAAAAAGGTTGATGAAGATTTCTGGTTCCCAGAATGCTTTGCATTAGATTGTTATTTTATAATTTTATTCTGTAAAGACAAAGACTTGTTAATGTTTAATGTTCATTTAACTTTGAACAAACTGTTGCCAGTAAATATACACTCACCGGCCACTTTATTAGGTACCCCATGCTAGTAACGGGTTGGACCCCCTTTTGCCTTCAGAACTGCCTCAATTCTTCGTGGCATAGATTCAACAAGGTGCTGGAAGCATTCCTCAGGGAGTTTGGTCCATATTGACATGATGGCATCACACAGTTGCCGCAGATTTGTCGGCTGCACATCCATGATGCGAATCTCCCGTTCCACCACATCCCAAAGATGCTCTATTGGGTTGAGATCTGGTGACTGTGGAGGCCATTTTAGTACAGTGAACTCATTGTCATGTTCAAGAAACCAATTTGAAATGATTAGAGCTTTGTGACATGGTGGAAGTAGCCATCAGAGGATGGGTACATGGTGGCCATAAAGGGATGGACATGGTCAGAAACAATGCTCAGGTAGGCCGTGGCATTTAAACGATGCCCAATTGGCACTAAGGGGCCTAAAGTGTGCCAGGAAAACATCCCCCACACCATTACACCACCACCACCAGCCTGCACAGTGGTAACAAGGCATGATGGTTCCATGTTCTCATTCTGTTTACGCCAAATTCTGACTCTAACATCTGAATGTCTCAACAGAAATCGAGACTCATCAGACCAGGCAACATTTTTCCAGTCTTCAACTGTTCAATTTTGGTGAGCTCTTGCAAATTGTAGCCTCTTTTTCCTATTTGTAGTGGAGATGAGTGGTACCCGGTGGAGTCTTCTGCTGTTGTAGCCCATCCGCCTCAAGGTTGTGCGTGTTGTGGCTTCACAAATGCTTTGCTGCATACCTCGGTTGTAACGAGTGGTTATTTCAGTCACTGTTGCCCTTCTATCAGCTCGAACCAGTCTGGCCATTCTCCTCTGACCTCTGGCATCAACAAGGCATTTCCGCCCACAGAACTGCCGCTCACTGAATGATTTTTCTTTTTCGGACCATTCTCTGTAAACCCTAGAGATGGTTGTGCGTGAAAATCCCAGTAGATTAGCAGTTTCTGAAATACTCAGACCAGCCCTTCTGGCACCAACAATCATGCCACGTTCAAAGTCACTCAAATCAACTTTCTTCCCCATACTGATGCTCGGTTTGAACTGCAGGAGATTGTCTTGACCATGTCTACATGCCTAAATGCACTGAGTTGCCGCCATGTGATTGGCTGCTTAGAAATTAAGTGTTAACGAGCAGTTGGACAGGTGTACCTAATAAAGTGGCCGGTGAGTGTACATCAATTTAAATCTACAGTAAGTTACTGGCAAACAGCTGCATAATTACAGCAATTTTTTTACAGTGTACATTTCCTTCAGCCGGCTTATTCATTTCACTTATGGTGTGAAAGGGCCTTTACATTTGCCAAAAATAGATTTTTTTTTGTTATAAAAAAAAAAAAAAAGCAAGCCCAACTCAGGTAAGACAAAGTAATACAAAAGTAATGTAACATTACACTCGACAAAAAGTAGCCTAACTAATTAACGCAATTAGTTACTTTTTTTTGGAGTAATGCAATACTGTAATGAATTACTTTTAAAAGTAACTTCCCTCAAAACTGGTCAAAACTAATTTTAAGATAACAGCATTTTTGAGTGTAAGGACAATTGTATTGTTTTTACTCTAAATGAAGCACAATTAAAGTACAAGGACCTAGACTATAAATTAATTAAACTTGAGACAAAAAAGCCCAGTGGAACTCTATAAACTTATGTGTATACATGCAAAAGTTTCACAACATCAAAGCTCCCTTTTTATTTTTACACACACATCATATGCACTTGCATGTGCCCATTTACCTCACATAACATTTAAGTCCCTCTTTCTCTCTCTTTGCATATGAGTCATGGGAATGTGTATATTTGAGGCCCTACATTACAGCAGTGGCTATGGTATTGTTCTTTCTGCATGAATAGCCTCTAGCTACAGGAATTAATTTAATCCTCCCTTTTCACGTGTTTCAGCATCAATGGGCAATACTGGCCAGCTAAGGAAACATTGAAGAGACACCTCAAACACAAAATCAAAACCAACTACTGTATATCCTAGAACTTATATCAATTGTATTGGCTAAATGCAAACTGTTTTAGGTAATCCGTTACCTGCAATCTTTATCATTTATACAGGCCATTCTTTTTATTTTAACTGCATAAAAAGATCAGTACACATTCTTCAAAATCAGAAGAAAGTCAGTCATGCGGGTTTGAAATGGCATGTAAATCATGACTTTTAGATGAACTAATCCTCTAATTTTGCTGCAATTCGTGAAGACAGGAGTGTACTCAAGAGACTTTGTAATGAGTTTAGCAACCTCTGACTGAGCGAAATATGTCACCTAAAACGGGCTGCGTAAATGTCACATGATAGAAGTAAATTACATGCATGAGTTCCTCAGATGAGGGGAGCAACATTCAGGCCGCTCATTATCATGTCAGCGTGCAGCTCCAGACGCTCATGGATGCTTTTCTACCTCGCTCTGCTGGTAACACTGGTGTCCCAGAGCGAAGGAGGTTGTCAGGATACGGGACTTTGTTGCTTTGGACAAAACCAGTCATGTATTACTGAAGACTGGAGGAAAGATCGCTCCTATGGGAAATGTTACTGCGACCAGGCATGCAAGACGACATTGGACTGTTGTCACGACTATGACCTTGCTTGTCCAGGTTTCTAGAATTTCATATTTTTCAGATGCCGTGTATTAAACTTATAAAACAGATTCAGGCTGCTTTAGGCCAGATTTCATCCACAGCTTCTTGAACAATTTTAACATCAAGGTTTCAAATTTTCTATGAAAATAAAATATTGTGTACAATATATTTTCGTTATGCTGCTTGATAATGCAAACTGGTATTTCATATATATTTTTTAATGTATTGTCCTAATTATAAACACACTGGCTTGTAGCGGAAATAGATTTACTGCACTTTGTTATTCTTATCACTGTAAAAAATTATTTTCATGATTTATCACAATATTTGTTCTTTTGTCAAATCAACTTAGATAATTGATGTGGTTCAGATAACTTGAGTTTCTGTTGATTAAACCAATCTCCTTCATCGTGTTAACTCAAATTTCTAATTTCAATGAACAATTTTAAGGAACCAGGTTACTTACTTTTTTAAGTTAAACCAACAATCATTTGGCTAGTGAATCTGAAGTCTTACAGACAATAGCTTACTTTTGCAGTGCAAAATGAAGTGGATGTTTTTATATGAATAATTTAGATGAATGCATTAGGGATGTGATGTAACTGTATTTAAAACACTGCAGGGTTGGAAAAAGTTTTCAAACATCTTTTAGTGCAGAATGTTTTGTGATCCTGTCACATTGTCGTGTGATGGCTCACTTAAAAACTACACTGGAGAGAGTAAACCTCATTTCACATCCACAGAAGCCTTAAAGGCACGGCAACGCCAACAGCCTGCCTAGTTTTAAGTTTTAGAGTGAGGGTGGAAAATGGTCATCCTAGATAACAGGGAACGTTATCAGAACTTTGGCTAACGTTCAAGCTAAAATTCTCTTACATTTTTGAACAAAATGTCTTCCAGTAACATTGATAGAACATTTGTTGTAAGTTATATGCATGGTCTTAAATAATGATGTTCTTAAAATTTGATCACAAAAACTATGTTTATACCACATTTTGAACATTCTGAGAACTTTTATTTTTTAACTGGATGTTTTGAAAGATTTTATTACTTAATGGGAACGCTAGAATATATTTTGTCAGCTGAGAATCTGACACATCCATGTGTGTGTTTTAGCCGTATCCTGTGTGGTGAGTGAATGGAGCGTGTGGTCTGGCTGTCTGGAGCCGTGTAAAGCAACACTTCGCACCAGGTGGAGGCAGGTGATTCAGGAAGCACGTAATGGAGGCGAACCCTGTCCCGCTCTACATCAGACCGCAGGCTGCGCAGAGTATAATGATCAACATGGTCCTTGCCTGCAGTCACTGGGTATGGTCATCTATAGCTATGTGAAATATCCTTTGCCATCCTTCAACACAAATGTCAAATTTAATAATCAACAGTGGATAATATCTTAGGTTTGAGGTCAACCCATTAGATCCATAATAAAAGCAACTGGTAGTAATGATTTATACAGCCATTATTTTTCCATTGAAATGTTATTCTTGGATGGACTCCATGGTACACATTACATCCCATTTATCTTATATAATTACATTATCAGTACATAGCCTGTTTCTGAGTGTAATCAAATGATGAACTGTAATCATCATCATCAGTTCATATGCTCTAAGCACTAAAGCAACAATCTAAATGCCACCTTTTACCCTGAACAACATGAATGAGCTTTTGAAAATGACTTGTATCTTCTTATGAGACTGCAGGTGGAAGTATGAGGGCAAATATGCATTCAAATCTCTCTTTCATAATCTTTGACCTACTCCTTTGTCTCATTATTTTACAGTCCCAGCTCTCATCACCACGGGTGGCTATGGAAATGCACGGAAAAAAAGGGAGATTTTTGACAACAACATCGCAAGGTAAGATCTGACAGTTCAACACTAAATTGTAACAAGAAGTTGCATGGTGGTATACATTGTTTTAAATGTACCATGGTATATCATAGATCTCACAAATCACCACTAAAAATAGTACACATACCCTGACAATACAATATTTATTTGTTTATAATGTCATGTACCATTGTAGCAACATAGTTGTCTTTGATAAGTACAGTAATGTTTAAAAGTTTGTGAACGGTAAGACTTTAATGTTTTTGAATGAAGTCACTTGTGCTCAGCAAGGCTACATTTATTTGATCAAAAATACAATATAAAACAGTAATGTTGTGAAATATTATTACAATGTATAATGTTTCTATTTGAATATATGGTAAGACTATTTTAATGACATAGTTACACAGTAAATTGTGCATAATTACAAGTAACTAACCATAAACCTAACCGTAACTCTATAGTAAGTACATGAAGTAAATTAATATTATGTATTTATTTGAGTAAGTACAATGTAACTACTTCACCTTGAAATAAAGTGTAACCGAATATTTTTTATTTTGATGTCAAAGCTGAATTTTCAGTAGCCACTACTCTTTCTTAGTGTCAATCTTTATCAATCTTTAGTGTCACATGATCCTTCAGAAATGATTGTAAAATACTGATTTATTGCATCCTTGCTGAATGAAAGTATTAATTTCTTTCAAATAAAAAATAATTTTTTTTTTTTACTGACCCCATTTTGTACGGTAGTGTGTATATGTCATTTCTGTGTGTCTGTATGTGCACGTCTTAGTTACTGTGTGGAGTTTGAACTGGCGTCCCTGTCGGCGGGTTGTCAACGCAGCTTCAGTCCTCACACACGTTGGATGCGGTACCTGAAAGAGGGGCATCAGGTGTGTGTGGAGTGCCAGCCACCAGCACTGGCCCAGGGTCAACGCTACTGCTCCGGGGACGGGGAGAACATGGGACAGGACAGGTAAGAGGAGAAAGACCTGGATATTTTTATTTTTTATTCCTGGCTCAATACAACTTAAGCACAATAATATAGACACTCCCCATAATTTATCCCCTGGTTTCACAGACAAGGGTTAAGCCTAGTCCCAGACTAAAATGCATGTTTCAGCAGTTTCAACTGAAAGCAACTTGCACTGACATATCTTAAAATATGTCAGGGCCATTGTTTTGTCTCAAGATGCACACCAGTAATGTGTTTTTCTAAGGCACGTTTATAAGCTACTTCAATGTCCTAATTGAACTAAGTGTAGCACTCGTCTGCAGTAATTTAATAGACTTTTTATATTACTGTTATAATACAGATAAAATTTGAATTCCGTCAGAAGAATCAGGGATCGCTAAGGAGACAGCGGGTTAACATGAGAAGTAACAGACAGATACAAGATTGAATTAGAAATATAATTGGTTTTACTTGAAAGGAAAAAATAGAAAATTTATAAATGTAAATTACAAGATCACATAAACAATAAACAATAAAATTGACAATGAAAATTTCCACCACGAGTGCACTCTTGTCGGTGTTTTCAAATATGTACCCACATAGTCAGTTCAACACTCAAAAAGAAAAGGGGAAAAAAAAAAAGTTCTTTAGATCGAAGTTGTCGTGTTTCCACGAGTAGCCCTGAAAACTCAAGGAAAGGATAACGGCCTCCTCTCCACGAAGTGATGTCTTCTCCCTTTCTAGAAACTGGGTTGGCTCGCCATCAAACACGGAGTCTACAGGATGTCACAGAAGGTTGTGCAGTCATCATGTCTCCAAGGTATCAAGAAGAAAGAAAAGAAAACGGAAAAAAACAAAGGAGAGAGAAAAAACCTGGCCTCTGAATCGATAGCTTTCTCTCTAATACAGACACGTGGCCAACAATGGCGACGGTGAACTCTTTGTGATCGATTTTTCTTTTGCTCTCACACAGGCGCAACTACAGGCGTGCGTGATCATAAAATGGGGTCGGTGAACAAGTAGAATGTATTCCTCAATTCAGTCGGCTTCTTATTCAGAATGGATCAAACTAATTAATTCTCAAGCTTTCTCGTATTATTTCAAAGATTTTCAATCAAAGATGTATAAAAACGGATCACGACGATCAGATTGCGTCTGCTCTTCTCAATCAAGCTCGTCTCTTCTGTCATCGCGCATGCTCGTTGACGCCCATGGCGCAAATGACAAAGAGCTCTCATTGGTTGATCACTAAGCTTCTATCTAAAATGAGTTCGCAAATTTATTTATTTTATATTTGTAACTTTTACATCTCTTATCGACTTTTATTAAGGGAACAGGATATTGCTAAATTGTGTATAAATTAAATAATTACTTTTATTTAACCTGTGTTACATTCTCCCCTCCTAAATTCATGCAAGTCCCTTTGCATGTTCTGCTTGGCTGACTGGTGACCACACTGTGTAAACCATTAGGCAGCAAGGGAAGGACATTCAGATTTTCATCTCCACCAAGAGATTTAACAAAAGCCGAATTCAGACCTTGGAACAAAGATTGGACCACATATATTAATGGGTTTCCTGGCTGAAAATAAGTAAGTCGCTCTGGTTCTCCTCTCTGTCTAACAGAACGCCTCGGTAAGGTGTCTATCTCATCTTCTGATTGTTGTTCTGCTTTTACAGGAACATCTGAACTTTCAACAACACTGGTTACTTCAACTTCATCAACAGAACTACCCATTACAGCATCGACTTGGCCCTTATCAGGTAAGTTACTTTGTTCAAGGACACCGGGAACATTAAGAGGTAAGTGTTCACCAGGTGTATCGAAAGGTAAGTATTTATCAGGATTACCCACTGGTAAGGCTTCAATAAGTAAATTATTACTCTGGTCGCCCTGCAAAGTTTCGCCGGTTGAGAAAGTTTGTTCGGCTGAGGTATCAGCAGAATCAGCGCTCACGGTCTCTTTTTCCGCACAGATATCATGAACTGTAGAGAACCGTACTGTCTCTATATTTGGAGTATGACTGTACTCACAATACGAATTTCCTTCTTCAGGATCAGAGAGAGAAGTGTCATCAATTAACTGAACCTTAGGATTCTGTCGTGTTCGAGGTCTTGAGATGGATTTGTTTAGAGTGGGTGGTTCAACTTCGGGAGACGGTAAAAACCCACACGGGAGCAACAGATCTCTGTGAAGAGTACGCAGAGGACCGTCCTTTCTCTCTGGACGAACAGTATAAACTGGCAATTCAGCTGCCTGACTCACCACAACATACACCTCAGACTCCCACTTGTCTGCTAACTTGTGCTTCCCGCGTATCCTAACGTTCCTCACTAACACTCGATCACCAATCTCCAAAGAACAATGAGTTACGGATTTGTCAAACCTAGCTTTGTTTCTTTCTGCACTTTTTGACATACCACGTGACGCAAGCGAATAACTCTCTTTCAGATTGGTTTTTAGATGCTTGACATACTCGGAATGAGACTGTCGCAGACCATCTTGATACGGCAACCCAAAAGCAAGGTCGACGGGTAACCTGGGTTGACGTCCAAACATCAATTCGTAGGGAGTGAACCCAGTGACCTCATGTTTCGTGCAATTGTACGCATGAGCTAAAGGTTTTACAAAATCTCTCCAACGAACCTTGTCCTTTTCTTCTAAGGTACCCATCATACTGAGCAAGGTCCTATTGAAGCGTTCGACCGGATTTCCCCTGGGATGATAAGGGGTGGTTCGGGATTTTTTAACACCTGCCATTTCACAGAGCTCTTTAATGGTACGTGATTCAAAATCTCGGCCCTGGTCGCTATGAAGACGCTCGGGGAACCCATAATGCACAACAAAATTTTCCCAAAGACATTTTGCTACCGTCCTTGCCTTTTGGTTGGGTGTGGGGACTGCCACAGCATATTTGGTAAAGAAGTCAGTGATTACCAAGATGTCTCTCGTGTTACTCTTGTCCGGCTCTAATGAGAGAAAATCCATACAGACCAACTCTAAAGGTCTTGTGGCTTGGATATTAACCAGCGGTGCAGCTTTTTGAGGCAATGATTTCCTCCTCACACAACGACCGCATGTTCGGATCTTTTGTTCTACTTCCGCAGCCATCTTCGGCCAATAGAAACGAGACCTTACTAAATCTAGAGTTCTCTCTACCCCCATATGACCCATACTGTCATGCAAACTGCTCAATACAGAAGGCCTCAGTTTCTCAGGTAGCACAAGTTGGTAAGTAACTAATTCCTCTACTTGCCGCTTCCGATAAAGCACCCCATCTTTTAACTCAAGACGGTTCCACTCTCTTAGAAAGAAAGGAAGATCTGGGAGTTCCCTCCTGACTGTTGGCGGAGGCTTTTCTCCCGACTCTAAGAAAGACACTACTTCTCGAATGACTGGATCTGCCCTTTGCTCGTCACAGAGGTTCCCTGACAGGTAAGATACAACAGGTAACCCCTCTAAATCACCTTCTTGTTCGTAACTATCAGGTACTGCATCAGGGTGAAGTGCAAGAGACTCAACAAAAGCAGCACCAGACCCAACGTCCGTTGGCGGTCTGACCAGATGCTTCTCACATATCGCCTGAACTACGTCACTTGCGGTGTCACACGAATCTGCAGCTTCCGCGAGATGATTCTGCATAAACTGTTGAATTCGTTCGTACTCTTTTTGCGATTGAGGATTTTCAGGCAATTGTTCCTGCGGTCGCCTTGATAGACCATCAGCATCAGCATTTAACTTGCCTGCTCTGTACTGTAACTTAAATGAAAAAGTGGAAAGGGCACCAAGCCACCTGTAGCTAGTCGCATCTAGTCTCGCCGTGGTTAGAACATACGTTAGAGGGTTACTGTCTGTAACGACGGTGAATTGGCTACCATACAAATAAACCCTAAACTTTTCAGTTACTGCCCATTTAAGGGCAAGAAACTCAAGCTTATGCGCCGGGTAATTGGACTCACTGCGGGATAACCCTCTACTTGCATATGCAATGACTCGCATCCTCCCTTCCTGTTCCTGATACAGGGCTGCTCCTAAACCCTTGGTGCTGGCATCTGTATGCAGGAAGTAGGTAAGTTTAGGGTTAGCAAAACCCAACACAGGCGCAGTAGTCAGGTTGTCGATAACAGACCGAAACGCTTCCTCACAAAGTGGGGTCCAACGGTCTCCGAACGAATCTTTAGGTTTATGGTATGAACCCTTACTCTCACTCCGTTTAACACTTTTCCTAGTCGGCGGATACCCTACGGTCAGATCGGTGAGTGGTTTCACAACCCTAGAGTAATCCTTAATAAAACGGCGATAATACCCCGAAAAGCCCAAAAACGACCTTAACTCCTTAAGGTTTTTGGGACTCGGCCAGGTTTTTAAGGCTTGTATTTTCTCCGGATCAGTCTCAACGCCGTGCTCAGACACAATGTGCCCTAAATAACGAACGGACGTCTGAAAGAACTTACATTTCTCAGGGGCGAGTTTTAGCCCATACTCTCTGAGCCGAGAAAGAACTTTTAACAGCCGTCTTTCATGCTCTTCCAAAGTTTCAGAAAATATGATTAGATCGTCAAGGAATACAAGTACTTCCCTGAGATTGATATCCTCCATACACTTCTCCATCAATCTCTGAAAAGTACTTGGGGCATTAGTGACCCCCTGAGGCATGCGATTAAACTCCCAAAACCCCAGGGGACAGACAAAGGCGGTTTTAGGTTTGTCTGCTTCTTCCACCTCTATCTGGTAATACCCAGATTTCAAGTCGAGTACCGAGAACCATTTTGATCCGGTTAAGGCGGAAAACGTCTCCTCGAGATTGGGTAATGCATATGCGTCTTTAACGGTTTGTAGGTTTAACTTCCTATAGTCTATGCACAACCGTACATCTCCGTTTTTCTTCCGCACTACTACGATAGGTGAAGAAAAGGACGACTCAGACTCTCGGATAACGTTACTTGCAAGAAGATCGCGCAGATGTTTGCGGACGGCTTCCAGATCTTGCGGATGGATCGGTCGCGCCCTATGTTTAAAGG